CCCAAGGCAAAACTGTCTCTCTGTTATCTGAGAACATCCACAATGCTGCCGACAGTAGTCCTGTGCAGAAATAATGTACACCTGTGAAAAACACAAAGAGTCGGCAAATACAGATAGCAGGTTCACTTGCTGGTTCGGACAGCATCTGAAGAAAGAACTATTTAAAAACACAAGAGGTGGTGGTATAATGAGGAAACCATGGAGAGCAGAAAGCTTATGATTATTGACAGAAGTTGATTAAGAAATGGATTATTGTCTGTTAGGATGTTGGAATATCTACTGTCACTTCTATCCTACGTATCTTTATGTAAATTTCCTTTAATTGAGGTATTCATTTACAATCATTATTTTCATTGGTAATGTGCTTTATTTGCATTTGAAAGCAAAGAGAGGGAAAAAATTAAACACGACTGGCTGACCCCTACCATGTGAGAAAGGGTTCATTTTTTGTCACTCTGACCCAAATGGATTAGGGCCAGGAAATAAAGGTCAAGCTCTTACCAGTACCCCCATGTGTCACGTTTTTATTTCATGGAGTTTCCAAGAAAAATATTCCAATTTGCGTCAGTAATTATTCATTCTTTATGCATTATCATGTCAGTTTCTGAGTTTATTTTGAATTCAGAAATTACCTTTGAGTGCCAGGCCTATTAAAAAGCAACCCTTTGTGAAATACCCTTCAGCAGTTAGATGTAAGTGATAGATTTTGTAGCAGTACATGCTCTTTTTTCCCTTTTAAGAATTCCCCCCTTCTACAGAAGTCCCCCCATCACTCGAGTCATAAACCACCAAGACCATGGCTGGGTTACACTCCTTTGTGGATTTGCAAGTTGCTGCCTTAGTTAGAAGATGTCTGAGGGCTGTAATTGCTAAAGCAGTGCACAGGGCAGGTGGGTTGGAGCCAGTCTCTCTATGCTGTTGGACAGCATGAGGTAAAAGCTTGCGGTGACGTACCCTGCATGCTCCCCTAACACTGACCACAGCGAGCAGCTTGACATCAGGTTTTAGCCACCAGCCATGTCAGAGAGCTCCCTGTCCTGTGGGAATTGGTTTGGGGCAGTGCTGCACCTTTCCAAGAGAGGCAGAAAGGTGCAGCCTCCAGCTGCTGGGGCCAAATGTCATCACCCCAGTCCAGGGCTGCCCAGCCCCACCACACTGCAATGGGAGATATCTATGGGTGCCAGGGGTTCCATGGGCACAGCTACAGCCCTGGAGGAAGGGCTCCAAAGATAAACTGCTAAAGAAGTTTCTGGTTTTGCAGTTTTAATGGTAACTTTTTAATCTGGTCATTATTTTCTTTGATTGCTAATACCTTGACCTCTGGTGACAGCTGCTGCTTATACCTGCTAAACTTTAATGCAGGCTACAGTAAAGAACATTATGATTATTTGAAAAGGCAGAGTGTAATGCATTTCAGATTAACAGTGAAAGAAAAGCTATTGAAGTTAGAGGTTCACTTTGCCATATCACTCTATGCTGCTTTCCTTATTATCAGTACAAAAAATGAAATGAGAATAGCACATCTTTTAATTTCCTTCTACTATTACCTCTTGATTTGCATTCAGAGCTCCCAGAAGAAATACTGCTGAATTCAGAAGCAGTCTATTTAAGCTGCATGGTGTTTAAAAATTGCTGGAAGAGGTTAAGGTGCTCTATATTATGCAGTTGACCTTACTAAGAAGCTGTGTTAACAATTTAGATTTATAATTTTGTTAAATTTTTTTCCCCAAGCAAAATTCATTATCTCTTTTTGCACCCCTGAAGGTTAAATCTTTTGATTTCTCTCAAACTCATTTTGTAAGATTTCTAAATTATATTTAAACTTCTTGTACTTAAAAGGTTGTTTTGCCAGTGTCTCTGAAAAGAAGCATTTTTTTGTCTCTGTCTCTTTTTATGTGCTATGAAGAGACTGTGTGCCCTCACAATATTTTACCTAGAAAGAAAGAACCCAAACCCTCCATCTGCAAAGTCCTGCAAATACATTTGAACTCTTTTATCTGGCACTATCATATCTTTGTGGCAGACTGGGTTTGAACAAGATGTCCATGGAAAATACTTTGAATCCTGCCTTTACCAAACAGTTGTAGCTTCCTGGTGTGCAGGATTCAATCCTCCCTGGACTTAACCTTTGTTTCCTGCCTTTGTCAGCACTGGGCCTGGTCATTGAGAAAAAGAACAAATCCTAACAAATCAACAATAGTGAAATGTGCCAGGGTAGGGAGAGCTGTACTCTGTAATTCTTTAGCTTCTGCAGCCCTAAACTGAAGTGTTTGTGCTCTCTACTGCTGCCTGAGGAAAAAAACATCAGCAGTGGAACCCTGTAATGCAGAACATTTTCCAAAATGCCCAAGGTGTCACCATCCTGGCTCAGTGGTCCCCAGCAGTAGATATTTATTATGGACACTGCCTCCTGGCCATCTCACCTGAAAACTCATAGTACAGTTATAACTCTGACAGTAAATAAAACAGGACCAGGAGCTCTGGGCCCTGAGACCAAGCAGCAGGAACCAGCCATAGCAGCACTGTATGGCCTGTGACCCTCAGGCATAATCATAATTTAGAACAAGTTAGCATTTGTTTAGCCTGCAGTGTTGCAATGAGGACGGGGCTGTGCTGCAGTATTTATGCTGTTCATGCAAGTGGGTGTGATGGAGGTGCAGAGCACCTTGGGTCCCACTGGAGGACTGCAGGGCCAGGACGGAGACAGGAGCAACAGCTCTGCAGTTTCCCCTGGAAATGGCCCTGCTGCACGATCCCCCACATGCAATGGCTGGACACTCCTGCGGGGGTAGCTGGCACGGGCCAAAACCAGGCCAAGTGCTGCTACTACAGCAGGATGGACCTTGAGTGGTGCTGGAGATTGCCCAGCTCCTGGAAGCCAAGCCTGCAGACCAGCCGGAGAGTCAGCAGCAAGGGGGTGTCGTCAGTGAAGCAGGAACAAGTTGTTACTCACAGCTGCGAGCACAGGGTGAGTCAGGATGGACATTTCGACATTTCGGTGTTTCTTGAGTTCCTATTAGTTCTCTCCTCTAGTGCAACAGTTGCTTAGACTTCCTACAGCAAGAGCAATATATTGACAGCTGCCTTCCTGTTATAAAGTCAACACAGGGAGCAAGGGAAGCTCAGGACAGATCCTAGAGCCAGAAGGTAGTTTTATTCATCTAATCTCTAGGTATGTAGACAGTGATCAGAACCATAGCAACTATCTGAGCCACTTGAATGAGTTAGATACTGAGATAGCAACACTTGTTATTTATACAGCGCCCTTTATTGGAAAATTAAAAAATGTCAGATACCAGTTTCATTGAGTAGGTAAACTGCATTCATTTGTTGATATGGAGGTGCCATAAAACCTCTCTTTGTATCACTAGGATACAACTACACGATAGAAACTGTTGGCAACAAATAAGTAAGAGTTAGAAGTTCTGAAGAAAAAAAGAATAAACCTAGGGGATAAAAACATACTAAACAGATGAAGAATTGGTCTACATGCAGAGCCAAGCCAAAACTTGGCAGCTTTATAAACCAGCTAACATAGAAATAAATGCAAGTCCAAACAATAGGAACAAACCTGGAACAAATAAAATCATGAACTCAGAAATGTTACCAACTGATTGCAAAGATAAAAATGCCTGTTAAATTAATTGTGTCCCTGTAGTTTATTCTACTGCAAACTTTGCTTCTGGCAAGATTCTGAATCTGAAAAAGCCATATGAAGTATATTCATTGAACAGCACAAATGGAAATAAATATTTCTCACTTGAAATAATAAGACACAAATCTGTCTCTATGTTATTAGCTGGTTTTCCTCTGAATCATCTTGAACTTCTAGTCAGACAGCAAAGTTAAAATAAATTATTTCATCATGCTGCAGAATATTTCTTAACTGTGTAATTCTTTCCTTTGCAGAATGCAGGTACCAAGCAGATTGTGATTCTATGTGTCACCATTTCCCCAGTGACTCTTAGCTTTTGCAGAATTTGTGTTTCTACTGAAATAATGCAATTATTTTTATAGATAAAAAAAATCTTTATGTGTGTATACTGGTTACACAGTCCTGCTCAATGCCAAAAAAAATATACTCTGTGTCCAAAGCAAAATGTAGACTATATCAATGAGTCATCTCTGAAGCTCAATTATGAGATAATAGTTGCAACTTCTAATTTCAGTCTTAATCAGTTTTATGACATCCAGCTTAACAGTGCAGAACCAGTGTGAATGCAATAGGAAAGACTTTTGCCATTTGAGCGTTGTCATTCCCTTGGCATGCACTTGGCTGCTATCTGGGCTTGCCCAGCAGCAGTACAGCCATCCCCAGGAGCATTCAGGAGGGGAAAGGACACATGCCAGCCCACCTCTCCCCTCATGGCTGCAGGCCCTGAGAGACCTCCCTCCTGTGGCCATCAAACCCAGAGCTCTCTCAAGTGCCATATTAGCCAAGGTCTTGAGTTTGCCAGCCTGAGGTAAAATCTGCCCAAGATAACTTGTAGTGCTCACATTAAAGGACAAATAAGTCAGATGGCTAAAATTAAGAATATATCCCTTCTTTATTTAAACCCTTCCAATCGAAATGTTTTCTCCTGAGAAACAAATGAGCTAACAAGACCATGGTGTTGCCTCACTACCAGGTTGCCATTCCCCGTGGCAGGGATGGATCTGACTGGCTTTAATCGCATTGTCCACCTCTCAGTGCATGAAGGCCAACTGTGGGTTTGAGGACCAGCAAATTACAAGCCAAGTCTGATACATCAGCCAATTAGTAGAATTGGTATTTATGCAGGAATGAAGCTGAAAGTGCAAATAAGGCCAGTGACTAAACCTTTCCAGCAATTACATTTAATAAGGTACTGCATGTTATTTACAGAAAAGATAGATCACACAATTCTACATGTAAATGCACACAGAGTGTGAAGACAAAAGCTGCACTCATTACATGCTAAACAAAATAAATAAACCAGAATTATTTTGGCACAATAACTATTACACAAATAAATATTCTAGAACATAATAAATTGACATTTATTTACAGTCTATTGAAAGTGCAAATAATTGGCTGAAAACTAAGATATTTGTAAATGTGTAAGACCAGAAAATGTGTTAACCAGCCATGATTAATTCTAGCTGAAGTTTAAGATTTTAATGTCCAGGAAAATATTCTCTTAAAATCCATTTGTGCATATTGTGCTCTTTTTGAACCAGACCTTTGCTACCTTTTAACTGAATTTTTTAAAAACCTGATTGCAAATTTAAAAAGAAGGAAGTAAAATGTATACACTGATTAATCTATTTATTCAAAATATTTTCAGTCTTGTCAGTTTTTTGAAATGGCCACACTGCTTGTAGTAGCAGACAATATGATTAAGATTAGGAATTTTTAGTATTTGTTGTATTTAAAACAGAAATATTTGCAAGTCTTCTCTGAATGGAACTATACCTTGGACTGCTCTTGAACATACATTACTCCATCTGATCATTAAATCCACTTTCTACTGCAGTTAAAAGTAGCTGAGCAAGCTAAACTGATGATCAGTTTTGGTCCTTACCTGAAGCATAAATCATGAAATACAGATTCTTAATTAGGGAGAAGAACCCACTACCTACTACTAAATGAACTGTTACAAGTTTTTGTGCATTTCCCACTAACTATTCTACCTTTTGCCTTTTTTAAAATCCATGAGATATCACTTACTACACCTTAAGATGAATTAACAGTTCACAACATGGCCACCCATACACCTACAGTGCATAAATTCTTCCTCAGCCAAAGTTCTCCAGCAGGCTGGTACATTGTGCGTTGCCTAAGACCTTAGAGTATGTTTTTGCTTATTTTTGTAGTGGCAGTGCAGTAGCAGAGAAAGTGAAGTTCTTAACAAGTGACCTTGAGAGGATAAAAGATCATTTCTCATCATTGCTTCAAATGTTTACGCTCGGCGCGGTTCCAGTCGGTGAGACATCTGTGATAAAGTTCTCTGGTTGTCAATCACATTTAATTGCCGCACGTAGCTCCGAACATCCTGATGGTTTTTATTAGTTAGGGCTGCATCAGGATCTGGTGAAAGAGAAATGATGTAGGATTGATACACATAAATGGACAAATGCCTGAACAAAATGCACAACTCCTTACAAGCTGCCAGAGGAAAGACTAGATCCTGGTGAGTTAAAAAGGAAATATTTAGAAATTGCTCTCTTTGAAACCTTTCCTCCATATCTCACGGTCTTTCTGGTTACTACCCCCACAAATTAACTTTTCTCTTGGACATCCTTGGCTACATTTACTAAAACTGATGGTCCTTGGTTACAGTTTTACACATCACCTTATCAGTCATTAGCTATAAATTATACAGCTAACGAGTACAATTTAAAGCTCCTCATTTGCTTTTGAACCAGCAACTTTCACAGATTCAAAATTATGTAATTGATTTAAGCCTCTTTTCATGCAATATTCTCATTTCTAGGTCAGTATTAAATATTTGTAACAATGTAGTGCATAGTGGCTGCCCCATTCAAGCCTTACTACCTGTTTACATTACTTAACCACATTATACCTACCCCAGTAGCAGTTATGGAATACTACAGAGTTAAATTCCAAACATCTTCAGCCTCATAGGGAACAGCTTACAGTGTAATGTAATACCTGTTAGGTAATTTAAATTCAACTAAAAAATGATACTGAGGCATCTACAATACATTACACGTACTCATACACAAAAAGCATGGAATTTAGATCCAGTAGATCTATATACTGACATTTTGTTGTATCATGTATACTGAAAATCTGCTTCCATTTCTAAATATGTAGAGGTCTCGCCCGTGCTTAAAAATCAAAATTAAAGACACAAAGCCAGAAAAACCTGGATTATGGAGGGGAAAAAAAATCTCTCTTAATTTCTACAGTTCTACAGAAATTTCTACAGATCTTCTACAGTTAAGCTTTGACTCACATGGAAAGAAACTATTTTTAATAAAAATACAGTTTTATACTATTTATTCTGTTGTTTGAGAAAGAGGAAGGGTGCTGTGAGTCAAAATGGATGAAGTGCTGAGGAAATGCCCATGTGACTGAGACTGGCAGTACACCTCAATGGGATGAGGCCCACAGAGAAGCCTGTTTGACCATACAGCTCTGTCATCCTACGTAGCCTCAAGCAAGTTCTGGTAATGATACTGACAAACAGGTTTTAAATTCACTGCCTTATGCAGTTATGTCATTTATAAAGGTCATGTCTCCAGACTGGTTTCATATTAAAACAGCATTTATCTAAGCAAGTATCTGTGTGCTGCTGCCTGCTAGACTTATTTCAACCACTTCTGAATCCAGTGGCTAATTTCAGCTGGCTCTAATCTGACAGGTAGACACCTCACAGATATTCAGTTCTTTCACATGCATGGAAAAGAGATAGAGGAGAAGGGATTTATTAGAGATTTATTAGAGCTTCCTGAGGGATATTTCTCCCTGTGAAACATCACAGGATCCAAACATGGAAGAATCACTGGAAAGCAGGCTCTTCAATTCTGGTACACACAGCATTAGTTGTAATTACTGTAGCTACTGATGATAATGCCAATGGTACAGATGTTGTAATACACTTACTGAAAGATTGGCTTCGGCAGAATTTCACTGTCCTGACAGTGTTGGCAATCATGCGCTGGAAGGAAAACATGGGATGCAATCAGAGACAAGCACTGTATTTCATCATTTAAACAAAGCACCTAACTGTGCCTGAATGTGAAGACACATGCCAATAAAAGCAGTCATATGAATGAAAATATAATTTTAATGCTGATACTTTCATATATAGGGTGTGATTTGCATTTACACAGGCTTTAAATCAGCATGAGTATAATTTACATGCGCTCAGAGAACTCTTTCCCTTGCCTGAATGCTGTAAAAGGCCCTAAGTAAGAATGAAAATCAGCCCCTTCAATGTGCATTTCTTTGATAACATCTTATCATATTAAAAAGTAAAAGGAATACCATGGAGTACATACACATTAATTTAAAGACCATCAGCTCCAAACAGCAAAGCCATTTCTAGAATATATTCAGCAATTAAAGAGCTTTCACTTTTTATATAAACTTGAGTTTAAAATGTGGTCCTTCTGGAAGATGACAGTGTAAATGAGCACGTGAGGGTGATTCCACTGGCAGAATGCTCAGTCCCTAGGTGAGAAGCCCACTGTCAGTACTGTGGCCTGCAGCTGAGTTTCATAAACAACTGTTACACAGTGTTACTTTGCTCAAGTGTATCTAACCCAATGTGAAAAGTGGATTCACTTTTGGTGGACCTTTTTACTGACAATTCACCAAAACAAGCAGAAGTCCCTTCAGTCCTTCTTGGCTGTGCTTCCTCTTCAGCAAAAAAGACATAATTTAATTCAATTCAGTTTCAATCAATACACTTGCTGTGATAAATCAGATGTTATTTTACAACACCTTTTATGAAAAGAAATTAAGGCAAGGCATAAAGCAAAACATTAGTTCTGGACTGTAGAATTTTAACAGGTTCCTGTGATTAGCTCCACAGAAATAATTCACCCACTAGTATGGGGCAGAATTAGTTGTACTATGTAATGTCAAATAAACTGAAACTTCAGCAGTAAGCTAGACAGTTTGATTCAACCACTGTTATAAGGACAACATTTGTTTCAGTTGCTTTTGTTTAGGTTAAGAAAAAGTAGAGGAGGGAAATGCTATTCTCTATCAGACCCTAATGTCTGTGTTCCAACACAGCTACATATTCTAACACAGGGCACTCTCACCAGGCTGCTTCATACATTATGGAAATATTGTGTGAGATTAACAAGCTAATTAGTCATAAACTCTCACAAAATGGAATTATATATCTCTTACTAGTGAACAATAAAGCCTGGGGTATATGTTCCTCTAAATTCATTACAATCTTAAATGAAATCACAATTATAACCTTAAATGAAAACATTACAAATGAAATAAGTTTATGAAATTTTTCATTCCAGAAGTGGGATGCACCAGTGTAAGACATTCCTTACACAGACCTTTTAATGTAATGTCAAATACAAAAATGGGTTGGTTGGTCAGCGTTAAGAAACACTATGATATATCATGTACTAAATGTTTGTTGATTACACCTTGTATTATGAAATGAAACTGATCTAAAATATGTTAATTTCAAAACACAGTTTCCCAAAAGATTTAGGGAATCTGGGTATGGATCTGCTTATGTTGTTCTTAAAGTCATATGTATCTACATGTATAATTCAAGTAGGAGTAAATTTTACCCAATTGTAATTTTCATACTTCTCTTCAAGCCATTATTACTATGCAGATTTTCTAGGGCATTTACCTTGAAAACATTCTCACAGGTGCTTAGCATTAAGCACATGAATAAACTCCAGTGACTTCAATGGAACCTCTTAAATGCTCAAGATAACTGGGCTGAGACAGAACACACCACGTGTAACAGTGTCGGTTTTTCAGTCTGACCCAATCAAATATAAATCAAAACAACACAAGCATATAAACATGACTGCTTCACATCTCTATGGCTTCATATTTGGCTCTGTTATGTGATGCTTCTATTTTGATTTATACCAGTTCAAAAAATACTCATCTACAATAACTGTTTCAAGGAGAGGTCATAGAGTTGAACTGCATCAGCCAACACAATGAAGTTTCGAGACTGCCTAGCTTCAAAGGAAGTTTTGCTAAGGACACTTCATTTTTGGGAAGATAGCTAGCTTTGCTTGATGTGCTTTCTAGATGGATTGTTAATACACACCCTAATTTTTCATACCTGTAAGTGTTTAGGACTTGAAGCCTCATCTCATAATAATCTTTGGAGATATTATCATTTAGCTTCATATATGAAAATTTAGATTTATCCAAAAAAGTGTTCTTTGGAATAATTTAACTCTTTTTTCTCTTGTGGAGAATTTGTTCTCAAAAAAGCACAGAACATTCAAAATAAACACTGTAATGCAGTACTCTACAGAAAGAAAAATTATGGGTGTGTAGTGAAGGTTTTTAAAGAAGCTTTTGCTATTTTCAAATTTACTATTATGCAGGCTCTACAAAGCAAGGAAAATGGAAGTGGCAACAGACTTGTCTAGCTTATGGTTAAAGGCTGAACTGCCTGGCTTCCTTCAATTGGCTGAAAGACTTCATTTTAAGGGGTTCCTTTGCCTTTCCTGAGGATAATGTGATTCACTCTGTGCATTCAGAAGTATCCTGGCAATGATGAAATACAAACCAATGAGAAAGTGGGTGTTAAGGCTGAATAAATGGAGAAACTGTGGCCCAAAGACAGCATCACAAGCCAATGGGGACCATTATGTATCTTTGAAGAGCTCTTCTCATGTTACTTTTTTTTCCAAGTGCTGTTCTACTGTCTCATAATGTCTAAGCTCCTAACAGCTCCTCTTTGTAAGGTACAAAGTGAACAAACAGGTTATGAAACAAAAGTGAAATTTTCTGTATCTTGTAGATAAGTTAGATTGTCTTCTTTTGATGCAAGAAAACCAGAAACATGTATAGAAAAAATGTTCAGATGGAAGTTTAATTGCCTGCTCCTTACAGTTTTTCTTCAAATAGAGGATTACCTCTAGTCAATGCCTGAGAAGATTAACCTCTCTTTACCCACAGTGCTAAGCAGGACCACAATCAAAAAGCCATACAAACCTAAATTTGGATCTTTCTGAAACAGAACCAACTGCATAATATAACAAGTAATGGCTACTACCAGCATGCTGTGTATACACAACAATATCCTTTCAAGTTTTACAGTCTGGAATTGTGGCAGCAGGCCAGCACATTATCTTCTAATCCTTTCCAAACCCAGGTTGCTAAATATTATAAATATTCATATATGCCATTGAAAACTACTAAGGGCTTTAGTCACACACTTTTTGCATAATCTTTATGTTCCAAAAATTAAAGAATGTTTGCCTTTTTTTTTTGCATATGGATAAGAGTGTGAATTACCTTTTGTTCTTCTCCACAAAACCTGAAAACAAATATGCACAGATTCTGTAATCCTCTTTTTGCACCTGAAGGGTGAAGAGGCTTGATAGGAAGAAGCATCAGTGGTCAGCACCATGGCACTATCTTGTGCTGCCATGGCAGGTCAGCACTTTCTGAGTTTTTTCCTGACTTCTGCTCCCTCTACAGGTGTTATTCCCGAGATAATGCTGGGTAATGTCATATGGAGAAGGTGCCACAGAAAGTAATCTCTGTTCAGGCTCTCTGATGATTTGAGAAATGGCGCTGGTAAAGTTCCCAAATAATTGCACCTTCCCTTTGTCTACAAATACGAAATTCTGCGCTGGCAGTAAGAGTGAAATTATGCAGCTGAGGTTTGAAAAAAGGAAATCAGTAAGTGGTCAAGAATGTGAAATACTGCCTGTCCCTAAGGAGAGTCATGTCAGTACTTTCCTCACTTTCCTCTCTTTCCCTGCCAAGACTTAATTCTATGGAAACACTTGTAAATTTTTTCTAAATACATGGCCATGGTGTATATTGCCATGTGCTGCAGGTTGCAGGTTATCCTGTATCTGCTAAATGATACAGAGTTTACAGGAACTATTACTACTGGTGCTGTTTGGGTGCTTGCCTTCACCTGAGAAGTGGGTCATTCTAGATCACAAACTAATTGTGTTTGCAGCCTACTGCCATCCTTCTTTCATCATCTTTCACATACTTGCACCTCTCAAAATGTTCCCCACCTGCCAAACTAAAATGACAGTATTTAAAAAGCTTTATAGGTTTTGCTCCTCTGTAACAAATATGTCTTCAGTTACTACACAGATGAGTCGTCTAAAGGCACGCTTACAACTAACATGTACTGTCAACTCACCAGGGGAGAAGAGATGCAGGTGGTTTTGTGTCATGGCATATATGCCAAACTTAGAATGTACATCTGAGCAACACCATGGTGGAAACAGCTTGCAACCTCTCCCCATCAGTTTCTTGCAGTGAGGTAATAAAAGACCTTCAATGAAGGTAAGTAAAAGACCTTCAATACTTCTCTGAAACCATGTCTTGTTTGCTATTGAAGACAAAGCCATTTACTAAAGACTTACACTACAAAGACCAGTAATTTAGTCATTTTGTCTACTTACTGACAAATATATAAATAACATTTTCCAGGCTGGATTTTAAGGCTTCATGCAATGGCATGAGTAAAGAGCACAAATACAGTGCAAGTACAAAGACTAAGAGCATACCTATTTCTGACATGTTCAGTTCTGTTTACCCACATCTTGTACAAACCAAATGGGTCTGTTTACAAACTTTCCTCTTTACCCATAGCTGTGGCTTTGCCACACGCGGTTACTCTCTTTCCTAGCTAGGTGAAGACAGGTGGCCCTGTCTTCCCACTCCTCACAGCCTCCTCCAGATAAGGCATCTGTGGGGATCAGGAGATGGGGAAGGGGAAGAAAGTGCAGGCAGTCACAAAGGCAGCAGCAGGTAAAGCTCAATAATGCTCTGCAGAGTGATGTCCCCCTACTACTGCCAATATCTCAGTTCTGTCACTCCACCGCTGAAAAGATCAATATATAGGAAAGCCCAGAAGGAAAAAACTTGGTCTTTTCTTTGTTAGCTTGAGTTGCTAAAAAAGACTAGGCTAATGTGGTTCAACACCATCTGTCTGTTTTTCCCTTCTTCTCTAGATAATTTTGTTCAATTTGAAAAAAGAACCCAGAGTTTTCAAACACAAGAAAACTCCTACCAATTTTCTGTGAAAACAGATGGCTGTGGACAAGAGAAAGATTGTGTATGTGCCCTCCTGTCTCCTTCAGGAAAAAGGCTGTAGTGCAAGTTCCTATGTTATGACAAAAGCCTATTCACACAGAATTCCCCAGCTATGAAGAAACAACACATGCCCCAGCCACGAGGAGAGATCTGAGAGAGCTCAAGCAGCCATGAAACACAAATGTTTAGGAAACCAGGCCTTGCTGTTTCTGGCACTCAGAGAGCCCCTGGCTCAGACACTGCTTGACAGCTCCTGCATGTTTTAAGATGCATCATTTAATATAAACAATAACAGAAACATCACAAAGAAGAAAAGATTTAAAGGAAGCTGTTTCAGCTGAAGAGATGCCACTAGATCAAACTTCTACTTTTGGCTGCCAGTTACAGGAATAAAGTTGTCAGCAGCACATCAGCTGTCGGGATCAGAACTCTGTGGTGAGAATGCAGACGCAATGCCAGTGGCTGTTCTTAGTTTCATCACTGTGCTTACATGACAGTCAGAGGGACCCACCTCCTCCAGTGGCAAGTGGCACCCCATATATTTTTACCCAGATATTTTTATTCATAAACTTCAGCAGACATAAAAGGAAACAATCTTCCAAAGAACCAAGATGTTTCAGAAAAATCAGTAAGAGTGGCTCCCAGCAATACTCTTAAGGAATCTCCCTCTGCTTACGACAGAACATCACGCAGCAGAACAAACAGACAGAAACAACAAACAGGACATGATTCATTTGAGAAAAATCTGGTTTCTACTTTTCTCATAAAAATAGCAGAGTAACGTCACAAAAACACCTTGGGCTTATTCTTATTTAAAAGAGAGGAGAATTTATCTGAGAGTTATCTGGCTGAGTGGTCTTGTCTTCACAGTTTAATATCTGGCAATTATGTGTGGATATGACAGTTTTAAGTTTAACGCAAGTAGGCGGCAGCGACTAAGGTTTAACAGTAGGCTTTTCTTCTTTGCTTGACCTGATGACACATGCAAAAAGCTAAAAACTGCCAGGTCCACAGTAGGATTTGAATGAATTATGTGGGTGGAATTTGAATACAGGTTGCTCTGAACAGCTATGGGTTGAGAGAGGATGTAAAAGCACCATAGAAGCATGCAGAAGAGCTAGTGAAGAACAATAAAAACATAAAAGATATACTTGTAGTAAGGCCTGGAGAAAAAGCAAGAGTGAGCTTTTAGGTGGAGTACCAAAAAAAAGAAAGGCTTAGAATACTAAAAGGGAGAATGTTTCTCTTTCTGGTGAGTTAAGGAACATGAGACATAATATTGATTCCTTAAAAAATATGCAGCATCAAAAATACACCAACTGATCTTCACATTCCTCTCCTAAAGAAAATGATCAAAACTGAGATTACTGGTACTACATTCTTGCAGCATAAAATATTATTTACAACTTTTGGGTGCTACTAGTAAATTCTTCTTCTGGGGGTAACATTCATTTGAAAATAAGACAGTAAGCGGACTAGGGTGAAGAGGGCAGACATGCAGCAACTTAGATATAGATCAGTTTAAGCTGCTATAAAGTTCACTCTTGGCCTTGGGAGTGCCAAAATGTGGTACAGAGTGGTGCAGAACTATTCTTAAATGACAAGCCTGTGTTGAACTTCTGTCTGTGGGAAGTGCTCACAGGAGAGCTCCTCCCTCCTGTAATGGCTTTTACACAAAATCAAGCATAAAGAGCTTGAAGCACAGAGCTCTGTGGCCTGTGGATGTACCAGCTCTTCTGGCTCAGGAGGTGTAAAATGGCCAAGTGAGGTGTAGATGTTGGAGCCAACCACAGAACCATGGCTATAGCAATGCAGCTGCCATTCCTTCTGGATTGGAGGTGTTCCAACCAAGTCTGAGATCCCTTTGTGTTCCCCAAAGTATTTACTATCTATACTGTTATATCTATACCAAATTGGAACAGGCAGTCCAGAAAAAAAGTCCTTTTCTGCAGGTAGAAGGCTCAAGGCCTTTGGAAGGAGATGGCAACACAGTCTGCATATGCAATTACAGAATGCCATTATTGCAAAGTGAGGTCAGGCCCTTACTCAGGCATTAGCACTACCATTTACTTACAAAATGTCTCATCATAGTAAAGGGCTATTTTCACCCAAGGACAGAGGCTGTCCTGGAGCTACAGATTAAAATCTAAGAGAATTCACACAGAGTGATGATTTTCACTTTTCTGTGAAGTTTTTTAAAGAGCTAAGAGTCCTCCTTTTTTCTCCTCTGCAGTTACCAGTGCTCAGAGGGTCAGACAAACGCCTCCACAGTGCAGCGGAAATAATTGCAGTTATGTAACTCCAGTGGAATGGAGTGGTTCTGATTACTGTACTACTAAGAACAAGCGCATATAGCTGCCAGAGGAAATGCTCTAGCATGGCTGCTGAATGTCTGAGAGGAAACGGCCTCAAGTTGTGCCATGGAAGGGTTAGACTGGATGTGAGAAAAAATTTCCTCACCTTAAGGGTGGTCAGGCATTGGAATAGGCTGCCCAGGAAAGTGGTAGAATCACCATGCCTGGAAGTGTTCAAAGAGCGTGTGGATGTGGCACTCAGGGAGAAGGTTTACCAGGGAACTCAGTGGTGCTGGGCTAACAGCTGGACTCAGGGATCTTGGAGGTCTTTTCCAACCTTAGTGGCTCTGTGATTCTACTATTTACTGCCAATGCAATAAGTCAGGTTTGGTTTTGCTAAGCAGATGGCATAGCTGGGTTTGGCTAGCACAGGTTCTCAGATACAGGTGTCATTAACCACACTAATGAGGAACATGGCCTTAGCAACCAAGAAAATGTGTTCTCACTGCAGAGAAACTCAAGTTTCAGTTGAGACTTCTGCAATGGAAAGTTGCCTGCCTACAGATTTTGACAATGGTGTTTGAAATGATAGCACCTTAGGTGCAGGACTTCTATCAAATTTGAGCATATTCTAGCCTTTTATCATTGATTCCCCTTTCCAGTATGAGAGCAACCAATCCACAGACAACTCTGTTCATTTGGCAAAGAAAAGAAGAAATAGGATGTTGTGCAAGTTATTTTCAATGCTTCTTTCATTCTCCAAGGAGCAATGCAGAACTATCCCAGGCTGAGACAGTTCAGGCCTGTTTGAAGGAACAGCAGATAAAATCACAGGTTGGTCCCAAACTGGCTGTTAAAAAGTGTCTCTCTGCTTCCTATCCCTGATGCTCCCTCTCCTAGGAAATATTTTGGCTGTGCATGGCTCACTGGGCAGTTTATTCTCCACCTCTGTGAAGTTTTCCAGAAAGCCAGAGGCACTAGGCTCTGTGTACAGTGCAGGCTATTTTTGCCAGTTTGTGGCCCTGCCTTCATTTTTTCTAGCCCTGGATGTCACTGTTGAGAAGCTCACTCTTGAAGAGGTCAATAGGGAGGTCTTTTTAAGTGTTCTTTCATATATGTCATATGGAGTGGTTTATATACATATACATACCATTTTTTCGAAGTTTACTAGATTGTCAGTGAATGTCTTGTTTCCCTCATGAGTAAACGTCATGTCTGTACAGAAATAAAAGACATATAAAAGCCATTTCTGAATCCTGGCCATACAAAACAGCAGAATGTTTTATCTACCCTTACAAAAATTGTAGCAGCTGTAAAAGTAAAATGTTTAGCTTTTAATTTGCAGCATTTCTGAGACTAATAAAATTGAGGTAGGATATTCAGATGTACAAAAGCAGTTTTTCTTTTCTCTGTGTCATGCTTTTCATAATGGAAAAAGATCATACCTCACACTGAGACTGATTTTTGCTTTTTCTTGCTGCTACTCTTAGCCTTCAAATATTTGACAAATAGCTTTCAAGTTAATAATTCTGGTAACATCCAAGCTTACCTTTTATAAGCAATGGCATGAAAGGAATTATTGGAGGGTCCAATTTAGCTACAGTTAGTCTGTAGGCCCTATGGTTTCTTGATGGATCCTTACAAAAAAAGAGAAATAAAATAATTACTGATATGTATTATCATATGTATCAAGACACTATATGCATTCACTTAGATGTCATGGCATTTATTAAAAACATTATTTTTTCCTGTGATTTTAAAAGTGCATCTGCAAATTCAGACACCTTTTATCATTCTCCTGGACTGGTTACATGATGAGAATGCAACCACTAAACACAAACATTTTTTCATGCCAAATAGCAAGGTAAGATATGATTATAAAAACATTCTTCATAAAAGAAATCACACATTTTTTCCTCCCTCCTTACAGCTGCAAATCCAGTTTTGCATACATTGTAGCACAAAAATGTATTGCCTGGAAAAATCCAGGTTGAAAAATAGAATTTCCCATATGTACTATTGGAAAACATGTGATAAAGCTTTTCTGAGTTCCCAGATTAACTTTGAGTGGTACATAAGTTCTCTCAGAGTAGGTTCCTAAGAGTATAATTTATTAGTCATACATACTTGTTTTAGCAGCTCTAAAATGGGATCATAAACTTCTTAAAGTCAAACAAGGACATATAAAATGTTCTGAATCAAGGAATTCAAATCAGAAACTGAATTATCTCAGATTGTGCATAGAATAAGGGATCTATTGCTATTCACCATTAAGCTTTCAAACTCTGCATAGATCTTCTTGAACTTGCTTGGGAGTTTCTGTTAATAAAAACAAAAATAGCAAACCTTAATTAAATCTGATCAGTGCAGTAATTTTACTGTAAATGCTAGTTCCATCTACAACGCCCTAAGTCAGGAAAGTGCTCTTTTTTTGCCAGATATTTCTAACAATGTGCTAATCTAAAATACAACATGTTTCCTAGCAACCAGATTAAAAATAGAGATGGGACCAGCCATGAAACCTGGATCCTGATTTAAACCCCGACTTGAATTTAGTCCTTTGGGATGTTTAGATTCAGATTTTTGTTTGGCTCACATAGCAATCACTGAATTCAGAATGTAAGTGGAAATTCATGTGAATGCTTTCAGGACATTCCTGATTATAGCCTATCTGAAAATACAATTTACACACAGCTTGCATAGGGGCAGATCAGCTTAATTATTCATACCTAGGATGAACTGCCCTTGCAAACATTCATATCCATGCCTGGGCACTTCCAGGAAGTTTTTTAACTCATGCTGATGCATTTATTGGTAAAATTCTTGACATGCTCTGCAGCAAAGGTCCTCTGTCACTTTCTGGGGTACAAATTAATAATACTTTTCAGTCCACAATACTCACACAAATAATGGTCAGTTGATCATGCAATGATTGAGATGAGATAGGCTTTACTTTCTTTCCCCCTCATGCGTATTATACATTTTTATATATATTATACATATATACATATATATATTATACATTTTATACATATTATACAGATAAAATAACTTTACTATAAAGACTGTAAGATACGTTATGAATTGGTTTCAGTGATCACTGTAATTTCTTATGTACAATCAGAATATGTCAGTTATTTTTAGTAAGAAATTTCTCTGAATCTGCTGAATTTTTCAGACTACTATTAGCAGTGCATAACATTAAAAATTAATAGAGACTTTATAGTGCAGAAATGATTTTTTGCAATACTTTCTACATTTGGAGTGTGTACCCTAGCAAGCTATTTACACTGTGCCACAGCAAGGGCCTAATTTTTAATGATGTGTGTCAACAACTGTGTGCCTAGTTTGCATATGCATGCAGATTAGGTATTTGTGAAGTAAGTGGTATAATTGGACATTTGCACCTGCAAATATCTAATTTCTGCATGCAACTAATGTAAATGCATGATAATATAGAAAAAAAACAGGTCTTGGTATGTTTGTCTTTAGGTATTTTCTGTATATATCTGTCTAAAAATCAGATTGCAGAAATTCTCTTGATAAACCAAATGCTCTACAGAATCAGAGTGTGGTAACATTTCCTTGATCTTAAGTTAATCCTCTGCACATACAAATGATCTGCACCACCCCAGCTCAGACCTGGTGCCCATTCCACACTGCTGTATGTAGTATATATATACAATTCCTTTCTCTCTAGTCCTGTACTGTCTCAGCTCTCCCAACTCCTCTTAGCAGCCACAAATGAAGGGTCATTATTTTAAGAAACTGAAAATCTTTGCCTGTAGCACTAATTGTATATGATACATGTATTTTTGAAAACAGGACTGGTGTACTCTCAGATGTGTTAGTCTCATCTCCCGTTTCAGAGCACATTTTTAAAGGTGTTCAAATTTTGCTCTCAGTTGCATCCATAACCTCCTCATGCTAATTATTTTTAATTTCTAATGAACAAAATACATGCACATTTAAATCTATACTGCTTTTGATAACCAGTATGTTCTCATTGTGCTGCACCCTTACACACTCATAAACAAAAGAACAAAGCCACAGAAAAAGGCAGAAGCTCTGAGAATGAAGACCAAACTGACAATAAGCATGGAAATCCATGTCAGAGAGAAAAACAGAACTGATTAGGAAAAACCCACATTTTAACAAGGCAACAGAGTCCCTGTGGAGATCAGAAAATAATATGTATAAACAGAGAATGAATTTAAGAGAATTATCAGTGGAGTGATCTCACTGAACCACCAGTAAAGTTAAGGCACACAGAGGATGGGCTGATCTAAGAGGCTAGCTTGCTCATCCTGTTGGGCAGTTTAGCTCAGCAACAGAAGCCGCTGTTGTCACCCTTGTTAACTCCTGGAAGTACTCAGCCTGTCCATGGGTGTAGTATACTGCCTTACTAATAAATACTGTCAGCCTTAGCTGAGGCTTATGGCCAGGAGCTGAATTAGTAGATCTAGTCTTATCAATAATAAAGGCCCAATACACATTTTTGCTAACTGAAAGTGGAAGTCCCCATCAAGTTTCCTGGAATGGGGTTTTAGAAAAGACTTACCTCCCACGTTAACGAGAGACGGCTCACAGCAACATTACTCAGTCCCATAATAATAGCAAAAAAGGAATTCAGATTTTTGTATTCTTTACAGCTGAAACATAAAAAGCCAGGTTTTAAGTTGTATATTATCAGTCAGAACAGCACTTATGACAACCTTAAAAGAGCTGAACCCAGGCATCTAGCTTAGAAGTGACTGAATTTAGGCAGTCCTGGCCAGCATGCCTGCAGACACCTCTTCACCAATGTGTCAGCACTTCACCACACTCTGGAGCTTTCTTTCCCTTCCCTCCAAAAAGGACCTCCCTTCATTTACTTCACCAGGTGCTGGCTTCTGCAAGGACTTCCAGTCTTTGAAGCAATTCCCCACCCAGAAACACAGTCCTGAAACTGGGCTCAATTCAGTCCCAAAGGATACCACAAACAGTGTAAACAACTGTTTATAACCTCATTTGCTGCAGAACTTGCTGACAGCTTCTGAACAGCTAATGAATGCTTGAATTGCCTCCTTAGGCAATCTTCATTGCAGATTACAGGGCCACAGGACCCTCTTTTTAAAGGGAGAAGACCAGCTGTCTAGAGATGCTCCATGCCAGTGACCTCTCCTGCAGTATAGGATTCCTATTACTTATAGATTCTGGGACTTCTAGGAAAAAAACTGCCATTTGTTACCAGCATCATTGAAGAGATCCCGGGCAAAAGGAGCTCTAGGTCACACTCCATCTCTAATGCAAAGAAGGATTTTGCAATCAGTCAGGAACAATTGGAACATGTAATTGAGTACTCTGGAAGACCCAACATGCCATATATAGGAATAGATGCAATCTGATGGCCATAGTCAACACAACTGTGCAGCTGGGTCTGCATCACTGGCTCACTGACTCAATAGGGAAGTGAAGAGATAGAACAAAGGCTATCAAAAAAAAAACCCTCACAAAACTGTGTTTCACTGGGTTTTTGAAATAAATCTCTTCTTTTTCTCAATTGATGTGCCAACATCCAATTTCAGCACCTCAGTCTCTGTTTCTTCAGCTGTGAGTGGCTTTCCTTAGGGTTTGGTATTGAGACTGTTGGGGTTTAACATCTCTGTCAGTGTCATGGACAGTGGGTCTGAGTGCACCCTCAGCAGGTCTGCTGAGGACACCAAGCTGTGTGGTGCAGTTGACACGCTGGAGAGAAGGGATGTCACCCAGAGGGACTTCAACAGGCTTGAGAGGTGGGACTGTGTGAACCTCATGAAATCCAACAGGTCCAAATGGAAAGTCCTGCACCTGAGACAGGGCAATCCCAAGCACAAACAAGGCTAAGTGAAGAACAGATTGAGAGCAGCCCTGGGGAAAACTTGGGGTACTGGTGGACAAGAATGGACGAGCTGATAATATGTGCTTGCAGCCCCAAAAGTTAACTGTGTCCTGGGCTGCATCAAAAACATCATGGCCAGCAGGTCAAGGGAGGCGACTCTCCCCGCGTTCTTGTGAGATCCCACCTGCTGAGCTGTGTTCAGCTCTGAGACTCCAACATATGAGGGACATGGATCTGCTGGAGTGAATGCAAAGGAGGGCCACAAAGACGATCAGAGAACTGGAGAAACTCTGCTATGAAGACAGGATGAGAGAGCTGGCATTGTTCAGGCTGGAGAAAGCTCCAAAGGAGACCTTAGAGCACCTTCCAGTACCTAAAGGGGCCTACCAAGAATGCTGGAAAGGAACTTATGACAAGGGCATGGAGAGACAGGACAAGGGAGAATGGCTTTAAACTGAAAGAGAATAGGTTTAGATATTAGGGAGAAATTCTTTACTATGATGTGGTGAGACACTGAACAGCCTGCCCAGAGAAGCTGTGGATGCCCTGCTCCTGGAAGGACTCAAGACCAGGCTGGATGGGGCTTTAAGCAACCCAATCTAGTGGAAGATGTCCCTGCCCATGACAAGGATGTTGGAACTTGATGATCTTTACAGTCCCTTCTAACCCAAACTATTCTATGACTCTGTGATTTACCAAGAAAACATTAAAAAGATTCAATCTATGATTCTCATATTTTTTATTCATCACTGAAGCTCTTAGTTCCTCTGAGGTATCTTTAGATTCAGACAAAATTAGTACAATCATCTCATCCTAGTGTCTGGATGCCACATAGGATAGAATAGGATAGGATGCCACATCATCAATCTATCCTACTGATAGGATGCCACATCATCCTATTCTCCATCATCCATCATCTACACCATTCTTTCTGTACCTTCATTTTACCAGACTTGGATGTATTGAGTGGGTGAGTCCTTTAGAACTTGGCCTCACTTGTGTCTGCACTGTGTGAACACTGAGCATGTGAATAAATGATCTCTCCCATATGCTGCTCTGTCTGTTGGGAGCTTGCTGCCCTCTCAGATCTTCTGGCAGAGCTGCTCATACCAATTCTCCCACATCATATGAGCAGCAGTGAACAAGGGTAGAAATTATAAACTGAAACGCTAAAGCTACGCCAACTTAATCTACTAGTCCAGATCAGAGAGTGCCTCATTGGTGAATCTGAGGGGAGATAAAGATGGAAAGCAGACAGGATAGGCTGTCAGTGATAACCTCTTCTCTAGGCACAAGTAAATCCATAAAGGGATATCTGTCCACAGTCCATGATAGGATTAGGATTAAATTAAGGCAGGGCAAAATAATTAGTAACACACAGCACTAGTGCTCAAAGTAGGCAGCTGCAACTGTATCCACAATATTTACTTTGAATCTATCTTCATGTAAAAAAAGGAAATGTTTTGCCAAATACCCTGTTAAGCAATACAACCTGACAAAGTCCAGTTAAAATCCATCCAGATACATGATGTTCTACCCCAGATATTCTGTAAATTCAACAGGGTCTACAACAAAGAGTTTGAGTCCAGATAAAAGACCCCGTCAGGCACTAGAAACAGTGCTGCATGGCTCTACTGCATATAAACTGCATGTAAAATGTCAAAAAGTGGATCCTCTAAAGCACCACAATGCATCACCTCAGAGCAGAGGACCCTCTGCCTCACAGAATGGACTGTACCAGAAACATCTTCCTGTTTGGATAAACAGCAAATACACACACACACACACACACACACACACTGGTCTTCAAAACAAATGTGTATGTGGTTAAAATATCTTGGTACTTATACAGCCATATTCATCCTGGCATTTTCTCTAAAAACACACTTTAGAAATTTCTCACAGGCTCCTTGGGCTTACAACATATACACATGTATGGAAAGAATGATTTTCAAAAACTGAATAAATGTGTCTGAGTACACTGTTACACAAGAAGGCTTCTAAGTAGCCTGTGGATATATTTGCAAAGAGGAAATATACACAAACTGCATTTGCAGGTATCCATAAGAGTATGTGCAAGCACATCCCAGAAGGCCCTTCTTATACAATTAATATGGGAAGAACTCACTGTTGGAAATACAGTTCACTTCTCTCCTTTGTTTGAAAGTTTATTCCTGCAACAGCTGGAGAAAAGAAATGAACCTGGTAACCTCTACATCCTTTTCCAGCAGATGCTAAAGCGACACTGGCTCCTGGAGCTGAAAGCACATGTGCACAGCACTTGGAGCTAGCACTTGGCCTTGTACTTGCCTGCACAGATGGGGAGCACACATCAAGGGTGTGTGGGGTGGCAGACACAAAATGATGTGCCTTCTGCAATGGTATCTGCACCTCAAGCCACAAAACTGAAAAAAGCTTCTCAGTAGCAGTTACCTTTGAAAATTAGTACGTGCAAGGCATCTCGTTACCACCAGTCATGCCTAAGATTAATAGTGCAGCACTGAGCTGTTCTCCCTGAACACTTTTCTAATGAGTCTAGTACTTCTAGGTAGGGTAAAGTTCTCATTAGGTCTCACGGATCTTCACAGGCAAAACTTCCTCAAAGAAATTGCTTCAAGGTCTGGGCTTTTTCTCCCCTCTAACTTCAGTGCACTTTGTGTTTGTTTTAGTGCATGTGTAGCAGCTGTTACCATGGCAGCACTGCACATAGGGCAGCAGCCTGGCAAAACTTCCCAGCGCCTTTCCAGCTGCTGGAATTAAACCTGCCCTCTTGGTTTGTACAGAGGAAAATCTTGTGCTTCGGATTTCTCTGCTTTTAGGAGACAAAGAGGACCCAGCAGAGCAGACCGCTTTTAGCTATTTATTTTTAGCATTGTAGTGATACCAGAAACATGGAAGTAAACAGGAGGTTGTCAGGCTGTTGTAAATAGCACAAGATTAAACCCATGACTCCGAGGAACTCGCAGGCTAGAGCAGTTTATTAAGGAGATATTTAACTGTAATTTTTAGGATACTTGATTTCAAGTGTTTGTGGAAATTTCTATTGTATCTTAATGACCACATTTCAACATTTCCCCATTTCATGCCTGAGATTAGGAAGACCCCGACGTCTGTGCGGGTGCCACTGCCCTCTCCTGGGCACAGCCCGCCAGGCCGGCAGCTGCTTCCCACTCCTGTGCTGTGAGATAATGAAATATGCGCTGTGTGTATTTTTAGAAACTAAAGAGGTAAATTCTGTCCTCTGTTCTAAATATAAAACTGATCCTGCATGCCTGCCACCAGATTTTTAAAATCTTCAGCTTTAACCAATTGTAATCCAACCACAGGGCCCGAAGTAGCCCCCAGAAGGATCTGGTACTTGCAGAGCAGGGTTTCCTGGAGAAAGGAACCACACTGATCCCCAGTTTTGATGTGAACACAGACTTCAGCTATGTGCAATCACTAACTGGGAGGAGGGCAGCATCACAGTAGCAATAGTAATCTCTTCCTTTACACAACTCCATTTAATGATGAAAAAAAGTTAAAGTCTTGGTTTAACTGCAAGTAACAATATCTCTGTTGGTAGAACTGCCTAAAGACTTCTGGTTACAATGCCCAGAGCTTTAGACGAACACTACAAACCTCAGCAAACTGTTTTTCAGACAGCAATGAATGCAATAAATACACCATGAGCTGGAAAGGGAGGGAGAGTGTAACAATGATAAAATTCTGTACCTGTGCAGGGCATGGATACATCCCTGCTCCCTCTGAAGTCAGTCACTACCCTGCTCTTGACTTTAGGGAATCAAGGCTGACATCTCTGGCATGAAGGTTCCAGTTTAAATTTGGATAGGAATAAAGGAAGACAGAAAGAATGCCTGCTATCCAACCTCAGACCCAGCAGTCAGTAACAAAAGAAGTCATTACTATTCTACATTTTAAAACAAAAGTATTAGGAAAAAAATCACAGAATCACAGAATCATTAGGGTAGAAGGGGACCTCTGAAGATCAACCAGTCCTACCTACCCCGCTGCCAAGGCAGGGTCACCGGACCAGGTGACATAGGAATGTGTCCAGGTGGGTTTTTGAATGTCCCTATGGACAGGGAGACTCCATTAACTCCCTCGGCAGCCTGTTCCAGTGCTCTGTCACCCTCAACACAAATTTATTCCTCATGCTGAGGTGAAAGTCTCTGTGTTTTAGTTTAAAGCCCTTGCCCCTCATCCTGTCACTAGACACCACTGAAGAGGGTCTAGAACTATTCTCTTGGCATCATCCTTCAAGATATTTGAATGTATGGATGAGATCTCCTCTCAGTCCACTTTTATCTAGACTAAACAAACCCTGCTCTTGCAGGCTCTCCTATGAGAGATGCTTCAGACCCCACATCATCTCCGTGGCCTCCACTGGACCCTCTCCAGTAGCTTGTCTCTCTTGTGCTGAGGAGCCCAGAACTGGGCACAGCATTCCAGATGTGGCCTCACCAGGGCAGAATAGAGGGGAGGAACACCTCCCTTGACCTGCTGGCCACCCTCCTCCTGATGCATCCAGGATCCCACTGGCCCTCCTGGCCCTCAGGGCCCACTGCCAGCTCATGGTCACCTTGTCATCTACCAAAAGTCCCAGTCCCTCTCTGCAGAGCTGCTCCTTAGTAGGTCAGCCCCCAACCTATGCTGCTACTTGGGGTTACTCTTCCCCAGATGCAGGACCCTACACTTCGTATCATCAGCAAACTTGCTGCAAATCCCAAACAGAATGAAAGTAGCATCAGTGTCATCATCTCCATGCTACAGCTCTTTACTCTCCCCTCTTGGTTTTCCTACTGGGGGCAATTCTGAGAACGGTTGTCCTGAGCAGCACCAGGAACATTTCCATCCTCAGGAAAATTAGGCTTAGTTTTGTTAATATTTACTAATTCATATACTAATATTTGCTAATGTATGGATGGGTAAATGAAGGATTCTTCTAATGAACTGAAATATATTTTCTCACAAATTTGAAACATGGCCCTAAGAGATCACAGATCAAGAAGTAATGGAGAGTAGCACAGAAAAGAATATATATTAACAAGGTTCTATACAGCCCTATAAGAAAATGGACAGAATTACCCAATACAGAATGTTTTAACCTCTACTCTGTGTGGCTGTCTGAAAAGAGAAAATAAAAATACATTGATTATATATAAGGTTTACCTCTCTTCCAGCTCCCACGTGATTGTATACTTACTGGGCTGCTATCTTAATGTATTTCTTTAACAGCTGAACACGCTTGCTGAGTTGAGAGCAAAGACAAATCTCTGTGACCACCCAGAACTGAATTTCATTGAATCTTCTTAAGAACAAGTCCAGATTTGCTGTGGTCTTTTTAAAATTGTGCCTCCCAAAAGTGTGATAGATCAATTCCAGCTAGGAAGGAGAAAACAGTTTGGAAGTTTATTTTTGAAGCTGAGTTTCTTGGACAGAGGAAAGAGGCTAAGAATTACCAGGTAAATATCTAGCTTGAAACTTGCTCTGCAGTTTATATTTGTGGCTGTACAGATGACAAGGATTCAGGTTACAAATGCAGTATACAATAGCTGAGGTATAGTAAAAGCATAACTACAGATTAAATATAAACAGCTTAATACCTTAAAACAAATGAAAGTTATTCAACAAGCAGCACATGTCCAGAAGAAGTCTAACTTTATTTTTCTATTTTGCCTATAAAATTACGAATGCCTTATACTTTCAAAAGTTGTAGGTGGCTTTATTGTAGAATTTTTGAAAATCAAGCTTAGAGAAGCTTTTGGAAATAATGCAGAAACCTGCAATGTACAATTACAGCTAAGATAGATTCTAATCTGCTGAATAGATAGATCCTCATACCTCATGCACACAGTTGAAGAGCTCCCAGTCATAAATTGTCATCTGATGTGCTAAGTCTTTGGAACTCATCAGTTCAAACGTTCCTATTGTACCAGTAGATGGTCCTTCTTGTTCTGGCAATGGTGCCTAAAACCAGGAAAATATTACAGAAATACTTTAGACATGCTAAATCATGTGGTTGATGCTTCTATTCCATAATGTTTCTAAATTTATTTTTTTTTTCAGTGTGATCACCTTCCTAATCATGTTTCTAATAGTAAAACTGAAATTTGCTTCTAACCACAGACAGGTATTAGGAAATGAGAAGCCCTGTGCAAAATCAGTATCCAGTATGTACAGGATAGTCAGGAAAATTCTGAAAGTTCTTGAGAGACACTGTAAGGAAATAAAACAGACTGTTCTCAGTGTGTTATCTTTAACATTGTTTCCTAAAAATTGAATCTACAATACACATTGTGCTTACTAAAGCATGTGTGTTTGTTTAGGAGTGTAGATCTTTCCAAAAAAACTTTTATGTTTCCTTTTTCACATACACAAATAACTAGGCCACCAAGGACAAGCCAAATACTTTTACATATTCCTGAGTCTAATGATGAGAATTATTATATCTAGCATGCTTCAGAAATCTGCAGGGATTGCAAGACATTCTGATCACTTAAAAAATAAATCTCATTATTTGACAGTACACAAATTTGATGCAGAATTTGTGATTGCAAATTCCTGGCTAGGCCAATTAAAGCGATATAAACATAGTCTTATGCAAAAGAACCAAGTACAAAACATTTCTGAAAGGCACTTCCATGCCACCCAATAAATGAGATGTGATCTATGATTTGACACACAGTTGAAGTATTAAACAGGGATTTAAAACACGGCTTGAGATCAAGTCAGATTTGAAGTAGCCTGTTGTACACATTAGGGTGAAGTGTTTGAATGGGCACTGCTAAAATACAGCCCATCAAGCAAGTCCCTTGCCAAGCGGAGGGTGAAACGCGCGCAGAGCCGCCCGTGAGCGCGCGGGTCACTGGTTCTGCTCCAGGAGAGGGCGGCAGAGCTCACACCCGAGTTTCCCAACTCCTCACCGCCTTTGTTAAACACCCAGTGATGGAGCACGGATTTGTCAACGGGCTCCTTTCTCAGTACAAACTCACTGGAGTCTGCCAGATTAACAGATCGTATTTAGATGCTGCAGTATAAAAAAGAGCCTACTAAATGAATACCCTTTTATATAAGAGTAATATATCAGCAACAGAAATAGGTGTGACTGGATTAATGCATCAAATCACTTTCTCAGTAACACACAATGTATGGGAGCTTTATTGTTGTATGAATTATTGATTTGTACCCTAGGGAAAACTTTTCTTTCAATTATCATCATCATCCAAGCAAATTAAAAATTACTAAAATAAATCATGAACATTATCACCTTAAAAGCTTCATCTATATTTTAAAAAAATACTAGAAAAGTATTCTCTAAAAAAAATCCAGGGCAGCCATTAATCTTCCATAAAACTGCAGATCGCTTTTAATTGGCATTTGCACAAACACAAAACTTCTTTAGTTTATGACAGCATAAGAATTCCGTGGAAATCTGTGGAAAGGGAATTGCCTACAGATTGAAAGACGTCTTTTTTTCCCCCATTTGGAAATAAACACAACATAGCTGTTACCATAACAAACACATATTTTCCAAGGCTAGGAAAGAAGCACTTAGATGCAAACTAACAGCATATTTGAAAATTCATCCATCCAGAACAATTTTCACATGGGAATTGCCAAATGTAATGTGGATAAATGTTCATGAACAAGAAGCAGCCAGAAACCAGAATGTGAAAGAGTTAAACTGGGAGGCAGCTAACGTTGTAACATTTTTCAAATTGTTTATACCTCTTTGAAAAAATGCAGCTGATAAGGAGTTGTAATTTGTTATGCAGTGCTGAGGACCATTTTTAAGGTGCTGAATGTACTTCCCTAATTCTTACTGAATTCAGTCTAGTTGATGAAAAGTAGCACATTACAGCCCTGTATCTTAGAGCCCCCTGCAGCATTTTGAGTACTTGATGCATGGTAAATAGCACAGGGAAAAGGCACAGAAAGCCATGACAATTTGCTGCCAAAGCTATGTGTACACAGACAATGCAAAGCCATATATAAGTACCCAGCACAGTTGTACTGATGCAGCACCCCTGCTTTACAGTAGCATGCCCCATGAGGGTATCTACTTGGCAGGATTAATTAACCTTAAAGGAACACCAGAATTTAATAAGCTGAACAAGAGGTATCTCTGCGTGGAACTACATATGCTGGATGTGCATTCCCTGGTTACTAAATTGAAAGCAGCAGCAAAGCATAGATTTTACCATATCCATAAAAGAAATCAGGCATACATACTAAGTGGCTTGTTAAAAGCATACAGGAGGCTGAAACAAGGCTAGGAGTAATAGAGTTCATGCTGACATGACTTGGCAATGACATTTGTTTTTAATGAAATAAAAGGAACAAAAAGTACAGTCAAATCAAACTCTTATAAAAGCAGACCCCATGGAGATCACTAGAATGACTGTATAAACTGTAAGTACTTATGAGCAATTCTACCTAAGAAAAAAACAGTCTTTCTACCAGGAATATTTTCTGTGATTCTATTTAGAATTATCTCAGACTTTGACACAGTACTTTGTGGGGATGAGAAGTAAATTAAATTTAAGGAATTTACTGCTGGAATCAAATCTCCAGAATGCTTAAATTGGTAACACCTGTCTTAGAAGATGTATCTCTGAGGAGATAACTCTAATGAAGAATTACTGCATGTCTTGGTGATAATACTCAGCTCTCCCTAAATGCTCAGTGTGACAGAGTACTGAGATCAAGTTCTGTTATGTGGACCAGATGGATGGACTTTAGGGAATTATAACATTAGCTTGTTTAATTTTCAGGACTCATCCTATTGCAGTGTGACAAGCCCTTTGTTGTGAATGTTTCATCACTAGTTTTTATCTAAAGTGTGGCTAATGCAAAAAGGGCCAGGTGTTCAAATAAACCAAAGCCCTGACACTCCTGAGCACTGCACACATACATACCAATGAATCGAACTGATCCCGTGGGCAAGCAAACAGCCGACCATTAACGCTGAGGGTGGTGAACACTGAAACATCGTGAGGCTTGAGCACAACCTTTTCTGTAAAAATGAAACAAATTATTATTTATTACACAGAGAGAGAATTTGCAGCAGGATTGATCTACCAGATGCACAGATTATCCTCCTGGGAACAAATTTTTCCCAGTAACCCAATGTCCAGGACACAGAAGACAGTAAGATCCTCTTTATTGAAGAAATGTGGTAAGTTCAGCCCAAACCGGTCTCCTACAGAAACAGAATCCCAGTCCCAAACTGTACAGACAGGTGAAGAAGCCTGTGCTGCTGTCACTGAAAGAGACCCTTCATTCATTGCTGAGCTGAAAGCATGTGGAGAGCTGTTCTTAATAGAAATTGCTCTGGAAGGCAGTAACTGCTCAAGGAGGTGATGGAAATGCATTACAACATTTCTAAAAGAGCATCACATCACAGGTGAAGAGAAGACAATGAAGTAGTTTACAAAACAGTCTCCTCCAGCACATCTTGGTGGCCCGCAAATCTGACAATAAAAACTTTGCTTCAACTGCAAAAAGTAAAGCTGCCTGGTGTCAGTTCTCAGAGAGTGACCCATTTCTGGCAGGCACCACTGCTTGCAAAAATACCTTCCAACACAGTTCTCACTACCTCCGTGTGTCTCCACAGTCATACTCAACCAAAAATACTTGAGCAACACCAATCCTCCTGCAGAATTCACCCTCCAGTTACTCTTGCAAACACCAGGTCAGTGTGTTTGGCATCAAGTTGCTCTGTAGTGGTTTGCACAGACAGAGCAGCCAAAATGGTAATGACCACTGCCAGAATGTTTGCACTGCAGTGTCTTCTGACATTACTAATTCCCGAGTCTAGCATGAATTTATTCATGCTTACTTTTTATTACTTTTGTTAAAAAACTCTTACAAGTCTAACAGTGAAGGAAAATTGGAGTAGCTGTGCTCTGTAACATGCAGATACGCAAGCTTCTCCACTGCTTCTGTCTCCCGTGTGCCTGCAGTAGAGAAAGGACTTGCCTCTCAATCAGGACTTGTGTGAGAGCTGAACATGCACATGGTTATAAAACCTTGACTGAACTTTCAATCCCTCCAAAAATTTTGCTTGACCATAACTGAGGAGTGTTTAAGATGATGTAAGTACAGTACCTCCTCCTGAACTCATCTTTACTATGATGAGGCCTTCTCCAGAGCCCAGCTTGTCTGCTACTGCACTGATCACTTCCTTCACAGAAGAAGACACTGGCACACGGATAGTGGTGTAGGTTTGGTCTATGCAGTACACCTTAAACAGAACTAAAGAAAAAAACATTGCACCATTTATTCCACATGTAAAAACCAGAGATTTACCATACAAATTACTTTCCCTTTAGTAACCATTTCTCACAAATGAAACAAAGCAATAATAAATAACTACATAGCTCCCCATTCCTCAGATGCTCTACAGTTTCCAATACAGAAATCTCTGGTTTTCCAGAGTTTTGGATTTTGGATTTTCAGTGTTCAGTGATCTGCCTGTCCTATGAATGAGAAAGGTGCAGCCATATGAAAAGAGCAGTTATGCCTGTCGGGACAGACACAGGAGGTAGTATTTCCCTGGCAGCAGGAACTGTTTTCCTCTTTGTAAGCCTAGAAACACCATCATGGACAACAGAAGCATGTCCTGCATGACTGGCAGGATGTCTGCTGTTCATATATAGTTAGTTCCAGCTTTAAACATGGTTCTTCTATTGGTTTCGTTTATGCCATCAGTTTTCTCAGCTACATGACCTTGAATTTTGTTATCTCATTTTCACTGCTCTTCATTAACAAGAGCTATCCTTCAATATCAAACATATTGAAGAAGCTGTTTTAGGTGATAAAGTTCCACAAAACAAGCATTAAGAGTACCTTAGCAAGTATTAAGAGTAATCTGAAAATGACATTCTGATACACTGCTGTAAATTTTACCTTTATCACTTCAGAGAATCAAACAACAGCAATAGGGCAAACCAGCAGATTTTGGTTTTTAGGCTGTGTGCTTAGATTCTCAGATTCTAGGTCCATGGTCCGTGGCATGATTATCTGCTCCCCTCCTACCTTGCAAAGGAAAAGCTGTACATGTTAGCTCAAACTAGGAGAAATAGGGGGAGACAGAGGCTCAAACATGACCTTCAGCTTCCACTCTTTATTGTATTGCCATTACCTATTGGCTCTTCTCTGTTTTGTTCATTCCTTATTTTAAAGTTTTTTACATCTTCCTCTGAGGAAGCAGTGTTTGATAGCACAAGTAACTAAGGGAAAAGACCAGAAGTACCTCAAACCAACGATGGAGAATAGTGGGCTAGCAAAATCAAAGAGAGTTTGATTCAGGCCAGACTTCAAAATTCTAGATAGGTACTTTTGTTTATTTTTACACCTTTTTTTGAGACTGACAAATTGATATAGATATCAGTAGCTCAAGAAAACTTAGCAGAGAAGAAGCTTACCCTCATCACTGCCCCTGATAGGCTGGCGTTTCTGTGCTCTGTCATCACTTGTGTTGAACAGCTGGAGAAGAACTTTGTGCTGAAAATGAACCATCGAGATTCACTTTAATACAAGAATAAACGTGGTACACATGAACTACACTACATCTCTTATCAATGGCAGGAAAAAGAGTAGCAATGCAAAATTTGACAATATTAAAAGCTATCTCTCAATCTGGTTTTTTAGTATATGCATGATTACTAAAGAAAAGATGCTTATGAATTTGCTGTGCTTAAGATTTTACTTGAGAAGATGGACAAATAAATTTTCTTACCTTCTTTTGTGGTGCTTTAGGTTCTTCAGAACTATAAAAAGGTAAAGCATAAAATGTATAATTAAATATTGCGTGGAAGATTTTGTGTACAAAATCGCTTATAGAACATAGGCCACTCATCAAACTAGCATATCAATATAATCATATTTATATATGAGAAGCCTAGATGATACCACAGTTAATCTATGACCAAGGCAGAAAAAATATTATACAAAGTTCATGTAAGCGTGAAATAAGCTTCTGTCAATCTCTCAGTGAGGGTATGGTGTTTGCAAGAATGATGTGGATAAAAGGGCCATAGACATTAATTCAAATAAGCCTGCATGCAAACTTTCAATTTCATATAACTGAGGGTTATTCACAAAATGGCTTTTTAATGTATATAACCAATAAATTTTCTTCATCAATTTACTGAGAAAAAGATCAGGGGAAGGAAAGAAGTAAAAACTATGCTTACATTTGCTTTACAATTTTCTCTAGCTCTGGAAGTTGCTCCTTTAGTGCTGCAATCATTCTAGTATCATCTGATACAGATACATAAAATTCCTGTAAATGATACAGAATAGTCTTTAAATAACTATAAGGGTAAATGAGCAGTACTCAGGAGAGAGGATTATGAGATGACATCTGATAGCTTAATGATTATAAAGAATGATAATCTGCATAGAGGAACACATGCTGGGCCCAACCCTCTATTACTTCTACTTGTTTATCTCCAGCTGATTTAAAGCAAGAGTTATACATGCAGAAGGGAAGCCTGATGAGGCTCCTTAGCTCACTCTGTAACCACTGACTGCATGTGTAAAACCTGCATTTTCACACTGTCAAAGATAAAGACTAAAAAAATCCTCAAATAATCTAGCAGGATAGTTTTTTTTATTCATTGCTGTTGTAGTCTTCAGTGCTTCATTTGCTCCTCAGTCACTGACTCGCAGCTACTCTAATCCACTACAGTATCACCCGCCTTTAAACCCTGCTCAAACCTCTTCCTGTTATATCTACATAAAACAGTCCCAAAGAAGGATCTCTGTGCTTGCAACTAGTGATTGTTCTTTAACTTCTGGACTAATGAAAGACTATGTGATCTCCAAAGCTTGAAAAGCTTTCCCACGTGGGCTCGTGGGGCGTCTACCCTCTCTATTCCCCTCTGCTAAATCTTAGAATCCATTTTAAGCTCTTTAGGACAAGAACTTTCATTCAGCCAGAAACATATGGGCAGTTATGTTACTGATTCTGTTCCATAAACACAATATATAATAAGAATGGCAATTACAATCATTTAACATGACATTGGCAGTGCATTCTTATCTTAGAAATCCAAGGATATGGCAGCTACCACAAAGAATTTACGATTCTGATGACAAAGATCTTGAGTTCCAACAGCTGCAGTACAGCTTTCATTCAAATGGGAAGGACTTTTGGTTCTCTAGAGTGGCAGCCCTCCAGCTCCTTCCTGGCACATCTCATGCAGGCATAAACAGGCCTCCAGTTCAACCTGTAGAGCCCCATAAGCATTCACAAGAAAATACTAGAAAAAGCAAATTCAGCTACTGCTATAATGCAAGCTACCCATGCAGTGCTTTGAAAGGGATCTGCAACATTATTTTCAGAGGTCCAAAGGCTGACAATGGTTCAAACACTGCTGTGGTGCCTTTTTTGTCTGCAGCCAAACCTGAGAAAACAGTTATAAACTGAAATAAACTTCTCACTTTGAAATGACCTCTTCCACTTCAGTGATACAATGATTCCTTTATACCTCCAAAAAGGCCATTGCTGCTTCATCTTCTTGCAGTAAATCTCCATATAAAGCAGCCCACTGCAGAACCAGTCGAATGACTCGCCTTTTATTGTTGAGGGCATAATCCATTTTCTCCTGCTCTGTACCCTGAGAAGGCTGGGCATGATAGGTGCCACAGTGTCAAGGAAAGCATTCAGTGATTGAAAATACCAAACCCAGTACGAATTCACAAACAACTGACTTCCAAGAGACCACTTTTAGGGTGATCAAACATAATTTCCAATATACTTCTAAATTCTGACATCCACTAGCGTAACAATTTGCAAACTTTTCATGTTCATACTAAAAAGTAAAATGACAGTGAATTTTCTGAAGAACACAGAAAGAATCACAGTTCCACAACAGAAATGGCTGCTGTAGGGAAACAGAACAGAAATGACACTTGGAGCAACAAAGAGGATTAACCATGGAGAGACTGAAGAAGGATATTTCTAATTTATCCTCTTTGGAAACAGTTGAAGAAAAAGAAAAATGTCACTTTGTGTTTAGTAACAATTCCAATTTTCCATTTGTGAGGAAGACCACCGGAATGAAGCACCAGTGTTATTCCTTTTGTCTTTACAAGTTATTGTAGCTCATGATGAACCTCAGTCCCATTAAGGGAGGGGGACTTTGACATTTATAGTCTAAACTGACTATAGAAACACAGGGTAAAATAATAAATTTTGTAGTAGCCTCATTGTCATGAGGAAATCAGACAATTCCACTATGTCAAATAAAGTGCATTTAGGACACAATATTTTGTAAGTTATTTTGTGATGAACAATAAGAAAAAATAAGAAACATTTCATTGACCTTTTAAAAGACAAAGTGTCAACATTAAAAAAATAGACAAATAGTTAAAAGACCAAAAGCAACATTTAGCAAAAGGAAAAAAACAAGAAAAAAAGTAAAGGGACAATGGATAATAAATGGAGATAATTTGAGCCTTTAACCTGTGTGAAAATGAAGTATCCCCTGAAGAAACAGGATATGACAACTTGTGTGTCTATTTCTTACTGAAAAAAATGGTTTTTTTCCAAATAAACTGATGGCTGAGTGGGAAGTAAGCACAGAATGAGTGCAGTTACATCTTCAACTTTGCTTCCCAGTTACTGGAATTCTGATTCTGGGCCATCATGAGTAATGCTATTCCCAATTACGTGGTAACATGTAACATTAAAATACTGACACTCTTCCTCACAGCCATGTCCAGCATCCTTGCATTCTTTCAAGCTGCACTTTCAGCTGCTGTACCAAAATATTTTAAAATACTAATTAGAAAATAAAAATATCAATGAGGAATACAAATTATCTAATATATTTATTCTCAATTTCTCATTTAGAAATATTTCTCTAACAATACTATTAATAAAATTCAATGGGGAAAAGTACCTATTAAATCACACTTCAAAATGATCCTGCTGCCCAAAGCCCCTGCAGAGATTTGACATTCTACCAGGGTTACTGGGGCGCTCATTTGACTGACAAACTTTTAGAAATCTGCATTTTAATTTCACTTGGAAAGGTTTAAAATGAGTAGAGAACTGAACATGACAGTATGATTAAGGCAGAAAGTAAGTCAGAAGGTCATAAGAAGTAAATAATTCATTGTAAGTTATGTGCTCCAATGTCTTGGGGAGCAAGTTTAACATTCTACTGAGTCATTTTTCTCATGCCATATTTACCTTTCAAACACCATAATTATTTAATGTATTTTTACTTTCTTATTAACTGACACTCCACAGGCACTGGTAATTTTTCTGTATTTTTACTGCTCATTTATATTGATTTCTCTTTTATTAACATAATCACAGGGAAAGTCAATGAAGGGTTCTCACATTTTTATGTGATCTTCAGGATGCAGCTTCACTACAGACTGCAATTAGAAATAAAATGTGATGCATACTTGCAACAAGTGTCAGATAATTGCAAAATATTTATCAACACCAATACGGTTAGAGCTCAATAGATACATATATTTTTCATTTTCTCTAGCATAAGAAATTGAAGCAATTCTCAAGGCTGTTCTTCCCTGCATAGGAAGACTCAGCTATATCAGGAGCTGTGTAAGATCATTGCTACAACAGAATGCAAACTTTTTTGGTGGCATGATGGTAAAGGAGGTTAGCAAAACACTCATAGAGAAATGTGCTGAAGAACTATCATCTACAGAGAGCAAAAGAGGAGTTTATACTTCGTAAGTATTTAGACAGTGGTCCCTTAAACGTGCACCCCTGCACACAAGCTCACACACTTGCAATAACCCAAATGCACTGCTGCTTTATTTCACATTTTCTTTTGGGACTTGTCCTGCCTCCCTCTGACACACTGTAGCTCTGAGAATTTGTCCATTTCCATTCTGTGAAGAACAGGGAAACAGGGGCATTGGTTCAACACACAGAACTTATATCCTGAGCCAGGACAGGGGAGCATTGCTTCCCTTTGCTTCCCTATAAAACAGTGATTTTTTTCATACTTCAGAATCTATAATCTTTAATGACTGAAATAGACTCGGTGTGCCAAAGGACAGCACAGAATAAGTGTGGAATCCACAGCAAGCAATAATGTTACTTAGACAAAACGGTGCACCTGTCTGCTCCTTTTAGGATTAAAATAACTTATAAATGACTGCTGTAAAAGAAGTGAAAACCCAAATAATTTATGCCCTCTACTATGTTTGAAAGCACTTCAGTGGTCTAGCTTTACTCATACTTGCATGCTGCCAGCTAAAATAGTATCCTAAGTGGGTGTAGGAAAATAGACTTGTTTTGATTCAAAATTGGGGGCTGAAGCAAAAAGTCGCTGACTGAATCACCTTTCTTCTTTTTCTGTTTTAATTTCCTCATTGAGCATAACTAATCTCTCCTTAGTCTCACAGCACTGGTGAGCACTTTTGCAGAGTGATTTTGCTCCAAAAAGATGAGCTTTGTTAGGAACCTTTCAACTCTAACAATAAATTTGAATGGTACAATCAACAAAGCACAGTTAGCTTTTCCATACTCAGAATGGACCAAATAAATAATAATTCAGCTCCAGGAAAAAGTTAACACTAAAGCAGTAGGATACCAGTTACCTCCACCTCCTCTCTGAAAAGAATTAACATGATGCTTGCCATGACCCACTTCAGAAGATGGTCTTAGCGTCCTCTCAAGAACAGATTTCATCACAAGCGAATATTTATCCTTAAGTGTGATTATCCTTAACTTTGATTACCAGAAAAGCTTTTCCCCTATAAAGAATGAGGTACATTTTGCTTATGGGACTGATTTTCCCAGTTACTGGATAGAGGTATTCAATTATAACTGAGGATGGAGAAGCCTGAATCTCAAATGGGCTGACTGAATAATATAAGCTAAATGAATCAGGACAAAGACTCCCAAACATTAAAAGTGCTGCCCTTTCTTCCCCTCTTAATGCTGTCAGCAACAGCATTTCATAATACTTTTGATATCCAAAACAGTGTGATTTTGGAAAATGTGTTTTTTTCAGGTGTGCGAACAATCTTCAACAGACCAGTTTCATGGGTCCAAAGGTTTTCAAAACAATTACTCTCCTCGCTAGGAGTAACACAAATGGATTCTCAAGCTTGCCAGACAAGGACACAATGCTCTATTTTGTGGTTTCAGGAGGTGAGCTTTCCCAGATGTCACTCGCCCCACTGAGCTTGAAGGAAAGCACTTTCACACCATTGCGATTCTAAACAAATAAATAGGGAGCTGAAGTTATTATACCCCTGTCAGAATTCTATAAAACAGAAAACATTATATGTTTATTTAATGTTCCCAGTCACTCGATAGCTTCAAGTCACTGTGCACAAGGAAAACGCTCAGTGCCCAAAAGCTCCCCAAACTAAATAACCTGCCAGTAATTGACAGATGGACATTTCACAGACTCCTGTGAAACATGCAGAGAGTATGAGAATCACCCCCAGGTCTCAATGCTCTCCACTATTCAGATTTCATCTCCTAGTATTCACATCCAATTGAAGTCCCTTGCAGTTTGTTTGCATTTGCTATAGGCCATTATTACAGATTATTACTACTTTTACATAACAATTAGGACAGCACCTAGGAACTAGTTACCCATTAGTCTGCAAGTTCAGGCAGCCTCTTGCTAGAGGTAGTTTGTAGCTTCCAATCTATAAAGTGGACCACTGAAACCACCAAGACATAACTATCCCGGTGAAAATGCAGATGCTGTAGTTCAGCAAAACGCAAGAAAGACAGGAAGGATACAGGAAGGGCAACCCAAACCCTTATGTAATTTCACTTATCTGGTGGAGGGGCAGTACATTTATTTCCCTTGGAACAGTAATCAGCACAGGAAATAAACACTTTTCATGGTCTGTACTGTATCTCATCATGGCTTATACACTATCCATTTCAGAGTTGTTGAGCTATGGATAGCTGCTAGTCAGACACTGAGAATCTACTCACAAGGCATGGCTTCCATGGAACGTGATGTACTTCTTGAAAGACGGAAGCTCCACTTTCTTCACTGATAGGTACAATGGCTAAAGAGACTTAACTTTAAAAAAGGATATTGTGCCATCAAGGCTGGGCAGAGCTGACTATTTGGCATAAAAACACAGTGCATCATAATAAAATCATTTAAAACAGAATCTGTGAAAAAAAAAAAAGAAAAAAGAAAGAAAACAGTCAATCAAGCCTCTGCAAACAGCTTGGGGATTTCAAGGATGAGTTTTATTTCACCTGAACTATTTTATTAGCCTTCTGTAGGTAATAAAGTGGTCTTTTTTCACTTTCTTTGTTGGGATTGGGTATAAAAAAGGGTAATGAACAAATATGAGCTAAAATATTAACCTTCTAGTCTTGTCTGCATGAATTTCATTGCACTTCCATCAATAGGCATTTGCCAGTGTCAAAGAGAAACGTGGCACAGCAAAAAGCTCCACATCTGTGCTAAAGTGAAATATTTGAATATACTTCTCCACAAGTGTGGAGTTCTATGCAAGGAAGAATTAGGCCTTTCACACCTGGCTACCCAAAAAGAGCTGTAACATTTGACTTTAGGAGTTACAACACCAGGCAGAATATTTAGTATATCCTACACAGGAGAAGGCAAATAATTTCATTTGTTGCTGATTTCCTAGCAGTGAGTAGAATGCCTAAAAGAGGTAAATGGACAGTCAAATTTCTGGGTTTACTTTGATTCAGAAATATCACAGCTACTATATTCACATTAAAACATATATGAACAATATGACTGACATTTTCTCTAGCAAAACCCAGCAAGCTATTTTTTCTGCTAAAATGACCTGTGGTAGAGCTGGTGTAAGTCCCAGTTTGCCTTATCTTTGTATTTGTGACAGCAAGAAGGATTTATAAAGCCTGGCTGCAGAGGCCAGAATGAGTTTGGCGGGCTTATATGGAATCACTGAGAAACAGTGAACACAATACCCCAAGGTATAATTTTTACAGTTTGATATAACAGAAATATTTACAAACATTGTAAGGGATGGTAGAAGAAATATGAAAATAACTGTGCAATATATTACATCGTTTCTTCCACTTGTATAATTCCTGTATGAAAGTATCTCTCAGTTGACAAAACTCACCTCTGGAATTGCAGCACTTTTATATTGTATCAGGATATAGGTACAATCTTGTCACTAGATGTCTTAACAAAAAGTTTTAAAATATTTTTAAAATAATTTGGTCTTGAAAAATATGTAACACATGCATACTGTGGATGGCAAACTTGTGATTATACAGCTACAAGCCTGAAGAACAATATTCTGCTTGCAATTCTAGTAAACAGGTATCTATAAAAAGGATCCTTCTTTTTTTTTCTGTCTTTAAAGTAGTGAAAACATACACTTAAAAAGGATTTCTGTAATTTTTTAATTATTCCACCGTTTATGGACTACTATACAGGTTTCTCCAATACTACGAGGTCAATAACAGATTAACTGGATTCAAGAACACCTTTGAATACATTCTTTGCAGACATCTATAGTGCAAAAAGAACTTCAAAAAGCAATGGTACATAGTTTAATATATGTCTGTGCATTACTTTATCAGAACTATGAGGTTTTTTTGTGCCTGACTCTTTTAGAAAATTAAAATACTTATTAAATGTAAGTCTGCAAGTATCTATATCCCTAGATGTAAATTCTCTGTTGTCTTAACACTAATGAAAAGCAGCCCAATAAGTGCAGATGCAGCAACCTGCATTCCTGGGACTCAGCCCATGTTGTGCTGAGTTCTTCTCCTTTAAGTAACAACTCTTTTTTCCCTGCACATGGGAAAGTATCAGAAACACAAAATTTATATTGTGATACTTTTATATGTGACGTGAAGATTTTAGAATATTTATACTAGCACAATGTAACATCTGGAGGTATCAAGCTACTTCACAGTATTAAACTGACCTCCAGAACAAGAAGTACCATCACTAATGGGGTGCTCTGTCCAGGCCTTATGGTTGTGCCAGTAACTGCTGGTCTGGAACTTTGGAGGATTTTGCTGTTCTACTATGACCTTAAAGTACAAATACAATGGAGCAGGCTTGGAATAGTGGATTGCTATTTTTAATAGCAATATTTTCTGGATTTCCTTAATTCTCTTGGGGTTGTTTCAGAGCAGTAGACAGTTCTTCTGGGAAAAACTACCACTAGGTGCTTTTCAAAGCATCACATTGCAGTGTTCCCCCAGCAAATCCATCTGATGAGATAATAATAAAACAGCTTCTGCCACGTAGATACCTGTTGCTTCATTTAAAGTTGCTTCAAGGCGCATAGTTTCTAGAAAGTGCTCTAAAATTTTCTCTGGGGTTCCTGACATCACAATATACCTGGGGAAAGGAAAGGAGCAGTTAGCATCTCACAGCCAAATGAGCTAATTAAGAATTGTGTACCAGCAAGAAGACCAGGACCGCTGTGCTGCTGTGTGCAAACACCTGACCAGAATCTCTGTGTGACAAAACCACTCACAATCTTCCCCCCTCTAAACCTAGGAGCAGGCACATTCTCCACCCTGCCCAGGGATGAGAGTCAGCTCCCTCCTCACACGAGTATTTCAGTATAACACCACCACGGTTACACCACCACCAGCAGAGCTGCAATGGTTCAAACTCAGAGAAGTACAAGCAGAAATGCTCCTGCACTGAGAATAAATATCTCAGTAACAACAGCAACTTGCAGTCATTAAAGGGGCTTAAACAGGCTCACTATGAGCCTGAAATAAGAAAGTGTATCAGTGTCAGAGCAGGGAAACAATTTCCTTCAGCATCACTGACAGAGGTTGGTCTGGGAAGGTGAGGGCAGACAATGACATAGCACACTGTATCTTCCAATTTGTGAAATACCTTGCATAGCTGAAGTGTTTCAAGTTGATAAACTGAGGATTGTACCATTTCCTGGAATTAATTTAGAGAGGTGAGGGAACTAGTGCAACAGCCAGGTTTTTCTGCTTCATGCAAAAATGCTGGCAGGATTTTAAGTACCAGCAGAATACCATATGATATTGGAAAACTTGTTGTATCATCTTTTTTTTCTCTTTTCTCACTGATTAGATTTTTTAATATTTCCCTCCATTCTTTCAATCTTTGCATCTTTTTTTTTTTTCCCTTTCTTTTTTTTGGAATTCAACTGATAAAGTATGAAACTTAAAAAAAATAAAAGAAAAAAAAAAGAAAGAAAAAAACCCTGAGAAGTGAAGATACTCTGCTCCTGCTGAGAAATAAGTGGTGGAGCTGAGCTCCTGGGAGTTCCTCCTCACTTTGAGCACTGACCGTCACAGTTCTTTTACCTGCCAACCCCTTTGGAAGAACTGTATTGATGTCCCAAGAACACAAACACTTGTTAAGCCAGTGCACATTCTCACAGAGATACTAACCAAGTATCTGAGTGAGTGAAGCAGAGAAATCACAGGTTGCTGTACTCTGAATATGAAAGTGAAAATGAACAGTGAAGTGACTTGCAGGGCTGCTGAATTCATCCTGCATGAGTGTGATCACCCATAAAGAGTTAGATCTTGGGAGTGATAACTTCAGAGCCAGTCCTCCCAAGTGAAACTGTCATTGTTTGAAAGCACAGCTCAGGGAGCTGTGTAGGAGCTCTGTCTCCTCCATAGAGAAGGCAGTGGAATCCAAACTGTAACCAAAAGGATCTGCTCCCAAAGTGAAGTTTTCCCCAAGGCCAAGATGAGAAAATCAGTTTTTTCCTGAGAAGAGGTGCCTGTTGAGCTTCTCTTTTAGGCAGTCATTTTTAAAAGTACTAAACATTCAACTAACACATCCCAGTAACATTCTGGAAATCAAGGAACGTTAGTAATTTTGGTTTGGATTCTCAACCATACATGTAGCCACTTATTCTATTTAGTAAGAAAATAAATGTCGTCCTCAAACCCAGTGAACTCTCTTTGAAGACTTTAAACATAAAGACAGTACCAACACAGTATTAACAAAGTAATCCAACTGGTGAAAAGCAGACAGTGAACCTTCAGGGTAACTTCCTCTTTTGGGTAACTGATGTCTATGGTCACAGTTACCAGCAAAAGCTCCCTTGCTGGCACATTTACAGTACCCAAAACCTGACCAAATGAGTAAAATATTTACAGAAGTGAAATTCTGAGCTTTACCTGAAAATATTCCTGGCATGTAAGACCTAAAATACAGCCTAACTTTACCATTTACCATAAATATCTCTGGCTATTTTTATCACATTCTAACAAAGGAAATGTTAAATGACACAAGTAACACTGGTGAAATGAGTTTGCAAGGAAGACAACGTTTCAAAATGTTCAAATGGAACTTTCACTTTTGGAAGCACGAAAAATGTCTCAGACCCAAGAAAATAGATTCAAATCTATGAGCAAGTTGCTGTGCATTGCAGCTGCTGATGCAAATCCAATAGCTACAGTCAAGTTCCCCTCCTTTAAACAAAGTAAAACTTGTGTAAGGGTACACCTGGCAGCATAGATTGCTTTTCCTGATGTTTTAATAAGTAAAGTGAAAAATTAAATAAAGTTCCTGAAAAATGTGAGAAGTGTATATAAAATACAAGGAATGGTTTATTCGACCTTCACAGACCTTTATAAATCTTTGCATTCAGTCATGAAGATAAAATAAGTACATGAAATCCCAGATGAGATAAAAACTGTACCCAAAGTATTGCACAATAAATTGGCTCTTTTTTGAGAGAAAGTGAGGTTCAGGGTAGAGGATTCAAAACTTGTTGAAATTGTTTGAATGCTTCTGAAGAAAATTGTGTATCCATTTGCAAATAACACATTTATAAAGCCTTTAGGGGTCTTACCAACGTTTAGAATGATAACAGCCTCACTCTACTCTTATCACAGTAGTATCCAAACAGAATTGTACTTTTTCCCTTTCAGTAAGAAAGGAAAATATAGTTAATATTGTTATTACTGTGCTAAACTATTCTGTAAGATAAGCTCTGCAACTTTCATTGTATGAGATCTTTGTTTTGTATATAAATTGTGCATAGCAAATTCTTATTAGCATCTAGAGCTCAAAATACAAAATATCTGTACTTAACAATAAAACAATGAATTTTCCTCACGTCTTTATGCAGTAACTCAGATTAATAGGGTTTCATCAATCTCCATGTTTAGTCTATTTCAAAGGTATTACTTGTGGTATTTACACTGAGATCTTTAGGGAACTATTGTGTAAAGACATAGAGCTGGTGTGCTGCTAGAAATGGATATATTATTGAGTATGTGGCATGTGCTGATGACTAAAAAAAGAAAACTTTATGTACTTTATATGCACTGCAGTCTTCCACCAAAATGGAATATGCTATTGTTTGGATAATAGTACCATTTAAAAAGGTTAATAATTGTCTGACATTTGCACTACTGAATGAAAACATACTTGTGCTGTGGCTGTGGATTTCCTTGATTAGAAATTCTGTTTCCTGCTGGGATCTTCTCCAACACCAAGACATCTTGGTCATGTTCTTTGAGTCTTACTGTATTTGCTTCCACATCCTGCAAGACAAGTTACTTTTAATAAATGTGACTGCACATGATTTGGCTGATTAGTTACTCTAACAAACTGCATGACTTTCAAACACAAAAGACTGGTGTTGGTTCTTTCCCCCTGTATTTATCTGTCTTTTTTCTGTTTTCCTCAGGCAGAATCAAGAAGGAAGCACTGGCACCAAGGCAAGAAGCAGAGAATTGTGGGACAGACTAGAGCAAGAACTATGTTAAAGATCTCCTTTTTATGGAGGTCAAATTTTAAAAAAAGTTTGCTGAAAAAGTCTCTCCACAACTTGTTGTATGTAATGTAATCTGTATCCCCACTTACATACAAACACTATTTTCTATAATCTGACTTTCTCTAAAATGAAATAATAATAAAAAAGACAAGAATAGGAGGTCTTAGCTCAGTAAATTGTTCATTTTCTACTACCAGCTCACTCATAGTAGAAAAAGAAAAAAGCTAAGTATAATATGCATTCAAAAAACACAGGTAAAAATTAGTAAGACAATGGACTTGGATTTTCTTTGAAATACAGACCAAAGCATTTTTAAGCAGTTTTAAGTCTCCACAGCCAACCCAACCTTACTGCCAAAGGGATCCTCATTCCTTTTGTACAGTAACCACAATAAATTTTTCTAGTGGAGTACCCCTTCTGGAATGGTTTAACTGCTGTGATACTGAGCATATATAGGTTTAAATATAGGATGATAATAGTTCTGGCTTCCTCTACTATGAATGACCACAAAATAGCCTGAATTACAGTTGGACTTTGGAACACGTTTACCCCAAAATGAATAAAATGAGTCTGGGAATATCTTTCTAGAGTTCTCTGATAAAGACATCTACGTAAAGACATCTCTAACTTACTCCATTTGCCACTTGATTCTGCCTTGAAAGTCTTGAATTTAATGTAGCTGATACTGACCTATGTGGGAAAAGGGGTGGTCTTGGGTTTTTTTAATATTTGGATGGAATATCACCAAGAAATCCTGGGCAGCATAAGGAAAAACTGCGCAGGGTAAATGCTAGATTACAGAATGTGAGAGAGAAAAGATTCCATTCCGTTGCATTTTCATGTCTGAGCTGGGAACTGAGAGAGGAAAGATGATGAACATATTCTTTACCTGACATCCTAGACTGTCACATCTCTGTTCCACAATTAGATGTGCTACAAGTAAGGTTATTAAAACTAATATATTCATAGACATGACAGCCTCTAGAAAAACTTGCAAGTTCTGATATTACACTGTGAGGGCAGCCCTTCCCACTCTTACCCTAAGGATCCTGTTGAAGTCCTCCTTATCTACTCTCAGGAAGTGGCAGTTGTCTTCCCGCAGAACAATGGATGCTGCTCTGGGAGCATCATTCACAAGTGCTAACTTGCCAAAATCATCTCCTTCGTGTAGAGTACATACCACACCCTGCACAGAGCAAAACATTTACATGCAGAAACCCATCATTACTCTGGGTTCTATTGAAATTCCTTGTACAAACAGTGGACTTAACAATCAAATACCAAAACAAATCTATTTGGCAGGAAATCAACAGCCAAAATAATGACTAGGAAACAATACTTGATAGCTGGTTATTACTATTACTAAAGAGAGGCAAGATCGAAAAAGAATCAGCTTGTTCTCTGAAATTACACTCAGCTTAAAGGATTCTTCTCAGACTGCTGAAGACAGAAAGTTGTCGACTATTTTGTTTTTTATTTATAGAGGCCCTAAAAAATAAAATCAAGATTTCAGAAGTAACACAGAACAGCACATCTCCAGTTGCTGTACATCAGCAGTGCTCCGTTTCCTCCAATTTACAGTAACAGAAGATCTGGCCCACCCAGTGATGTAAAACTCATGGCTAAACGTGTTCCTTAGGAACAGACTTAGCACTAGGGCCCCTGCGCTAGATTTTGGTGAAATGCTTTGTTTTCAAATGGAGGATTCCATGAATGAGAAATCAGTAGAGAAGTAGGGTTTTTAAAGTCTCAAGGGATTCCTGCATACCAAGATCTACCTTATTTTACCTTGAGAAATCCCTCTCATAAACAGGAAATTTAATAAAGATGCTTTTTGGTCTACGGCTTAACTAAAAAGAATAGCTGGCATAAATTTGGAAGAGGTTCATCCAACCTGAGAACCACCAGCCACAAAGCTGTACTTTTGTCAGAAGTGCATGAGAACAGTTAGTCATCTAATTGCATGACTACATGGTGGTAAAGGGATGAGGAAAACCCCCATGAGAGAGAAGTCTGGCAATTCACCAAATTCCAGCAAATTACTTTGTCTTAAAGATACTGATGTAACTCTGATGGATTATATTCAGAAACTGTGTAATATATCCCAAAATTATAGAGCAATCTACTGGAAGTATAATCAGTGAAACCACTGGATCATTTCTTAATAAAACTACAATATATTTGTTTTGTCAGACAAAGCAATTTTGCTCTAAATTAAACTGTATTCCTTCAAAGTCTACTCTTACAATTTCAATAATAACAATCATATAAAATAGCTTCTGAAAAAAATACCTTGCCATAAATGACTACGTTAACTGATCCCTTTAGGATAATGTACCAGGAAGTACCTTCTTCTCCCTGATTAAATACTACAAGAGAGAAAAGACTTTATGGTTAGAATATAGTTATTCAAAAGAATAAATGGGCCAGATTCTGCACCCAATAAAATTCAAGGTAACTCTACAGTCATATAAACGTCTACCTTATAAAAGGCCTTACTGTGTTTTAAAAGCAATTGCCTTCAGAATTTAGAAAAACAGTTTGCACCCATATAGTTACTATTTTATTACACTGATGTGAAAGTTGCTTTTCTTTTCTATGACAGTTCCAACAACTACTTTATCAATACATCAATAAATCAATACAACAGGTTATCAATTACTAATTAGCACACAGGTTGGATAAAACTAGTAGCACCACATTCTAACCAAGTTCTCTAGTGACTGTGAATTTAATATTAATTTGCTAAAACATCTCAGTATTAACATGTCTGAGTAATCCATTTCTTTTGTGCAGGAAGATTTTTTAAAATACAGGATTATATTAAAATACATTTTAAACAGAGATTGGTCATACCAAAAATTCTAGATAAAAACACACCCAAATCATAGGTGATACATACTCTCAACCAAGGATATAGAATTTTGGTGTTGTCCCCACATTTGGCAACACACTAAGCTAACACTTATTACCCTAGGTTTTAAACGTGAAGTGACAATCAATTTTGAAGAATGCATCCAAATTTTGCTCGTGTCATTTAAACATTAGGAATTTAAATGTTCATAGCACAGGTGAGAAAGAGATCTGACAGAACTCCATTTACTTACAGACTGTTCCTGCTTTGGGATGTGACTCAAAAATGAGGACACCTGCTAATTCTCGTTTTACCTTAAAATAGAGAGAGAAATTATAGTTATTATACATATCTCACTCCTCCTGGTGATGGGGTCACATAATATAGCCCCGTTGTACTTTCCTTCCCTCTGCATCATTGATCAATGACTGATCAATGACTTCGCTTGATCTCCTAATTCCTATTGATTGGCTTTACAGAGCTCCATTTCCTGGCTCCAAATGACTCAGACAAGGGCATCTTTTAAGACATGGGTCTTCACATCTTTGTACACACACATGTGAAATGATCATCAACGATTAACACCACAGAAAGTTTCAAATGGTAATAGTTAATCTGTTACAGAAGACAGCTAGCAATTGTAAATTACTCAATGGAAGTATTCCTGTTCTCTCCTGAGAAATCTGGTTCAGACTGACGTCTGTCTACTTCTGCTGTGTCAAGCTGTGAGGCACAGCCATCTGGACTTGCTGAGTCCCTTCTCTGCCTGACAGTTTCCCAGGCAAAGCATCCACCTCATTACCTCTTCCAGGAACTGGAGAACGTGACACTGCCCTCGGTGTCAGCCGGCTCCTTGCTGGACTTGTTTTGCCCTTGGTGTGAACAGCTCTGACTGACTGGGCAGTTGTTTCTAGTGAGACACTGCTTACAACTGCTTTTTGTCACTGTAGAGCTCTTCTGTGTGCTTTATGTTTCTCTTCATACAACAAGTCTCCAAGGACTTAGAGGCCAATTTCCAAGCAGCAGGATTCATGTATTTGGAGAATGACAGCTGGTGACAAGCCATTTTTCATTTTTTCATGCCAAATACAGATCAAGAGCTGGCTTCAACATGTATTCACTAGTAGTATTTTCATGCCACTGTCTCGTTTGTTTAATTTTTTTTTTAAAAAATAAAAATTAGGCCACAAAGAAAGACTTGGGAAAGAACTCTCAAATTCTGGACACAATCCAGATGAGAATCTGATGGTTGCATCTCCTAAGATGGGTGGAAAAATCTGGACATTGATGTACTTAAAGACACCCACCCAACCTTGGTGCTCAGGCACCAAGAACAAACATACCACATCAGCCACCTCTCCTAGAACTCTTTCCTGACAATCAGGAAGCACGCCCTTTTTGCAGCCTAGAGAAAAAGAGAGATAAATAGAGGTGTTTGGTCAGGTTTTTTTAAGTACACTGACCAGTGAACACACTCAGAGGCCTGCAACTTCTGTAAAACTTAGCTCACCAAACTCCTTTATAACTTCTGCTCAAAGGCAATGATACTTTCATAAGGCCAGGAAATACAACCTCAATGCAGACATTAGCACTGTCTGCACATAGCAGAGAGCATTCCTATCCATTTATGTTCTCAGATGTCTTCTCAGTTGATTCAGTCATTGGCCTTTGCAGTAAATGAATCCACTTGATGAAGACCAAAGTTTGACTTGTTTTCAACACTATATTAAATGTTTTTCCTTCATACATTAACTTCACAGGTTTCTCTAGCAGGCTTTAGTTCACCACCACGAGACTTGAGCTTTATCTGTTTTACTTTCTACTGCTTGTGCCATATCTAGAAAACTTAATATTTCAGAATTTATTCCTTACTTAAAATAAATGAAACATTCAATTTCCTTGCAAGTTCATTGGTTATTGATCTTCTGCTTCATAGAGGCAATGCTGTCAGTTGTTCCTCTGAAGATTATTCCTCTAAGCTACTCATGGTTTCTGTCTTCTGCTTCAGTTCATGATGCATTTAATAAGCTGGCATTTCCAGATTCTTACTAAAAATATGGAATCATCTGTACTTCAAAATGCCAAGTATTTTTTTCAGTTTGTATCACTTGTCGTACTTGTTCCATATGGTACTTGTTGTGGTACCTGACCTCAAATCTTATTTTCATCTGAACTGAAAATATTTTGCGTTTCAGGTTTTTTTGTTCTGGGTTACATCTGCAGTATCAAGAATTTTCTCCACTCCCTCTCAGTCTCTGTCTATGCTGGGTATTGGCAAGACACAGCAGGAGCACAGGACACGAGAAGAAGAATGAGACTTATGAATGCTTGGATGCCCAGGGGATCCTTTTTTTGGGGGTCCCTACTTGGAGGCACCAGCTCAAGCTGTTTCTGTGTTACTACACTGAATAATTTGCTTTATGGAGCAAGAGATACAAGGCTCTGCTATGGAAAACCTGGGGTAGAAGCAGTGAGGAAGCCTGGTCTGGCTGTGTGAGTGGGGGATGTGCAGGAGTCCAGCAGGACCTGCCAAGTCACTGGAGCTGCCCGCTGTGAAGGGGCTTCAGCCCCAGCAGTGAGAGTCTCTGATGCTGGGAGTGTGACTGCCAGAGTCTCACAAATGGTCAAACTGGGAAGCTTCCTTAACACCAATGTAATTCAGATACCAACTCTGAATGCCTACTTTTTTTGAAAAACATTGTACAGGCTTTTATATGTTGGATGGAGTACTATCTTTCAGTAATGTAGCTTCATAATTATCTGCATCTGTCCAAGTTAACTGAGAATGACTGAAAATAACAAGAGATTCTGAAGAAGATATCATCAAATATGGATCTACTTTCTGACTGGTTTCCCTTTTCTGAAAGCATGCAGATCTTATTGCTACCAAGTAAAGTGCTATTTAGCTTGTTTCAGTTGTCTACACAAGTGTATCAATGATGGTGAGACATTAGACAGCTGCAGTCTCCCTCCTATTCCATTTATCCTTGGTTCTCTGCACTGTTCTTGACCACTTCAGGGAGACCGTGTGTGACGAGCTTTCTTTCATTCAGTGATCGAACTCCAACCAGCAAGCACTGCACAGTGCACTTTTCTCCACAGTGTAATTCATCCTCCTAACTGATTCAAGGCAAGACTCCTTACAGAAATCAATTCTGCAAGATTCAGTAGTACCAGTACCTACATTTACACACAACAGTGATCCAGACAGAGGCACCTGTGCCAAGTCAGGGAGACAGAGGCTGTGCAGAAATACTTGAAGACAATTACATCTGATCTCTAAGAGACCACCTACACCTGCACAGTGCTTGGGTGACCCTCACAGATGGAATAAATTCTTTGTATGGAAAGTATGGTTACAAGCTCTCCAACTTTAATAAAATCAGAAGTAAAACCAGAAGAAAAAATTGAGCCTCTGTTTTGGTTATGAGTTAAAATTTTTAAAATTACTTACTGTGGTAGAAAGATGAGATAAGGCCTTAATGTGGAGAAGTTCTTCATATATAAATTCTAAGTCATCTACAGTTCTCTGGCCAGGGCTATAGAGAGAAGATAAAAGGGACAACTAAATGCAATAAATGCCCAAAATAAATACTTCACAGAAGGACAGAAAAACACAAAATGCTGCTGTACTGTCTAGTGAAGTGTACATCATCACTAAACAGGGACTGAATTACATTTCTGGCCGGAGGACTGAAATACACAAAGGATGGAAGCTCTGTGAATGCTACCTGAATGACACTGAGCAGCAGCCATGGCAACCACCTTAGAGAGATCCTGATTAGGCAGCTTTTCTGATTAAATCAAGTGTTCTATAGATGTATAAAATGGTCACATAAATCGGAAATGGTACATAAAGATTTGTTCCTTTCAAAAGGACTCCTGGGTGTGGGGCATGCACTATTTTTCACATGCAGCACTAATTAGTTGTAGCAAACACAGTAGTAGTGGTTTGTAAAGGAGTGTGTGAACTTCTGCTGAACAAATTGGATGCAGCAGAGCATCTTGGAGGACAGTTAACAACTGCACTACAGTTAATGCTGAGTGCTGCTGTTTAGCCACAAAGGTAAATAAGAACCACTCAGTAGTTTCAGCTTCTCTCACCGAAAAATACAAGCAGCTGCTACTGAAAAGCATGCACTGATGAAGGAATAATTTTTCTCTAGCACAAGAAGTAGTAAGGAGGCTGGCACTGTGGCTGACATAATTCCATTTCTATAAGCTACACAAAATTTTCTGATTGCTAAAGAAGGACACAAATACTGTGGGGACTGCAGTGTGTCAGAGATGCTTTGGATGATCTAATAAACAGCACACAGGAGGAGTTGTGGGAACTTGTGAGAAACTCCCAGTCTTTTTTCCACTCACAAGATTCTCTTCAGTTACAGTATCTAATACAACATTATTTGCTAAAAGAACAGATTTTCCTGTAATATAATTTCCGACAGCACACTGGACTGACATACCGACACACATGGGGAAAAAAATTCCTTTAAAGCATTATTTCAAGCTACTTTTATAGGACTATGCCCTTCCAAACAATATAGTTTAGATTTGTGAAAAGCAGATTACAAGTAATTAATTCAATGGGTGAAGAACAAAAGAAAATAACAACAAAGGCATATGGGAGAGGATAAATTTAAGATGTGAGGAAATGGGATACAGGAAGTCCAGTCTGGGGGCAGGACATCCAAATGAGAAGGTTTACATGCTCCACTATTATAAGCATGGTTCTAAACCCTGCTCTCTGCCACATGTGATGTCAAAAGAAATAACAGCACAGTAGAATCTTTGGACAGTCCTAAAAGAAAAGCTACAATGAACCTTTCGGACAGAAGTTTTCTTCCTAAAATGTCAGTATTGCAGGAGACTAGCACCTAGAGGATCAGGAAAGCCATATGAAGAAATACTGTGCTCTACAGGTTTTCTGCCTAGTCACCTCATGATTCAACAGTCTGCCTACATCAAGTGTGAGGCACAGGAGTACCCAGCTGTGTCACTCTGGAGTTACATTACTTCTTTTTATAAAAGCAGCTGGATGGAGACTTGCTTTGGATGCAAGAAGTACTGAAGAAGTCACAGAAAACATAAAGACAACTGACATCTCTGCTAAGCAAGCTTTATTTTTCTTCTGTTCTTCACTTACCAATGACATGCATTTATTATTACCCAGATTAAAGGCAAATTTAGACTAAAAACCATTTTGGATTAAATTACTCTTCTCATATAGAATCAAATAAAGTGTTAAGAGAAAACCAGAAATTGGTTTGGTACTGCTATGCCCTCTAGTGACTCAAAATACCATTTCTGAATCTGGCTTGAAATTACAAGGCTGACGTTCCTAATGATTTATGCAGAGCAACTTAATTAAGTACAGCATAAAATTAAGCCAGTACTAGCTAGCAAACAAAAGGTAAGGGACTTTAACAAATAATAGGGAAGTAGCAACTTTAATTTTATTACATGCTTGCAAAACCAGCATATCTTGGAAAATCTAGCGTAACAAATTAAGAAATTTCTACATTAAATCAAAACATAAAAGGATGATGTCTAGATCAGATCTCTATCAAGACAAAAGGACACACTCTTCTTTCAGCATGTCCATTTGCTTCCTATGTTAGCACATTGGAAGGACTGACAATCTGTAGCAGGTATCTGTACCTAATCTTTACTTCTGCTCCTGCAGATGTCACGTGGAGAGATATTAGGCATCACTGTGTCTTTAAAACCTGTGTGGTGACCCAGTGATGTTGATTTGTAGGATCCTGCTGTGTAAAGACCTAGTTTCTGCAGGGGACACATTCTAACAGCAATAGCTGGTTATAGAGCATATAATAAATGGGATAGGTAGGGAACGAGGGTACACATTAATGGGCAGAACTCAGGTGATATTAAGTGATCAATAAAAACTGTTCAGTGCTTGGAGAATTTACCAAGGTCACAGACACTGAGCTTCTCTGTGACTAGGATGTTGACAATAACATAGTACTTTGCCATTGATAAGCCATATATGTCCAAACAGTATCATTGATTATTTTTATTACACAGCTAACCAGAAAATTCTCAGATAATAAGAACAAGGGAAAAGATCAGAGACCCCATAACATCGTGATTAAGTGTCAAATGCTCTCTACTAAGAAAAAAATGCGTTAGGTGAAATCACCAAGAACATATAATACAGATTTATTATTTCAGTCACATTGCTAACTTACTTTAGGCTAGGGCATTAAAAAAGAATGAAATCCATAACATCATCTGAGCTAAATACTGTTGTCTGATGAATATAACTCTTCCTTTAAAGACTCCTGTTATTATTGTATTTGGTTTTGTATTGTAGCATCGTATTAAATTAGAGTTTACCATCAGGACATATTTTCATACAGAAAGAGGGAATCACTTAAGGAGGAGCTGTATTAATTCTGCATTAATTTTTACAGGTACTTGAGCAAGGTCTGCACCTGTGCTCCAGCCATTATAAGGAGCAGAGAGCTGTGTTTGCTACTTCACAAAAAGCTATTTTCACATTCAGTATATGTGTTTCCAGAGGGAAAAAAAAAACACAATAGCAACAAGAGCCTGCCAAAAATTTCCCTGAGCTCTATTCTGTTTTTTAAACTATAGAACATTCTTTCACAGTTTGACAGTTAAAATGCTGCAGTTAATGTAATAAACAGAGAATTTTTTAAGTTGGCTGTCAAAACAAGTGACACTTTTTGTTAGAGATTTTCAGATTTCGAACAATAGAAAGTACCTTTCAAAGCAACAGCTTCATTATACAATCAAATTCTCAAAGTAATCTTCTCATCAAAGAATATTGTCTTATTTCTTTCAGGGTAATTATCTGAGTTCTGCAACCTCTCTGGAAACGGTTACTGTTACAAAACGCAGCTGTGCTGGTTTGAAAATTGTGGGTCCTGCTCAGGTCAGCCAGAGTCAGCATCTCTGAAGCCTTGACAACTCCTTTGAACTTTTGGCAGCTGTAACAGTGTCTAGTCAAAACTAGCAGGACTCTGAGGATTCATGGAGATTTTAACAGCTTTGCTGCAGCTTAGTCCAGGGAGGATTTTCAACTAACAAAAGCATTATGTATGTAAACTGAATACCAGAACAGTAGTTAATATGGTCCCTGGCAGTACAAGCTTACTTCAGTGGGCAAACGGCTGCAAAAATAAGCGCTTTCAGGGATAGGGAAAGATGTCAGATGAGTATCAGTCTTGAGAAAACCTTTCTCCTCACTATATTCCATGAAAAAACTCCTATTAGTATTCTTTCAGGTGATGCTGTGCAAGTGATGACAGAGAGAGAAAAGCAGTACTTTCCACAGCATCCTTCCAGCCTTTCAGCTCTCTGTAAGCACACCAGATGGTAACCAATATTTATCCTGCTAGTGTAAACTTACACTAGCTGTTCTGGAAGTCATGACAGAAAGCAAATGTAGTAGGCAGCCAAAAACCAAAATAACCTAAAGAGAAATTCTCAAAGAGATGACCTGCTCAGCTGGCCTGGGGCAAAGGAGAGAGTACAGAGAAGCAGGGTCCCAGCACACATAGCACTGCTCAGTCTCTGAATGAATGGTGTCTGTTCAGAGGTGCAAAAGCTCACTTCTGCTCCTCAGTGGGAAAGGCACAGGACATGTCTGTGAGGAAAACAAGACCTCAATTCCATGACTTCCTAAGGGTGTATGGAAAGACCATGATCTCACTCTGGCTTCTCCATGTATCTTGTGTGACAGGAAGCAAGTGCTCTTTTGGTTGTGTTGACTAGATCTCTAGCAAGGAGAAGAAATAGAATATATACTTCAAAACTACTGCTGCATGGCAACATTTCCTGTTCTTATACGCACAAGTGTTTGATGGCACTTTTTGAAATTCAATGCTTTTAGCAAGTTTTTGGAAAAGTGCTGTCAAAATTATTTTACAATCTAAACAAGAATGGAGCTGGGAAAGGATACAGATGGAAACAGAACAGGAACAAGCACTTGGGTTAGGTGATTCAAAAATCTTTTACTATGAAAAATGTTCTCACACTAGGCAGGGCCCACACCAGTCCCACAGCAAAGACAACCTTTGCCAGTGGCCTCAAGGTAGCAGGATCCAGCCCTGTGTACTTGCCTGTCTTGAATGGCCCCTTACAAGTAAATCTTCAGTGAAGGTGAGCTTAAGTTATTCCTTATTCTCAGTGCATTTAATTAGCAGTAAAATACGTCTGCAGTGGCACTAAACCCCATCTGAATGCTTAATGCTTGCCTTCAATGGAGGGTCAAACAGAGCTTATACTGGTTGCTTTGAAGTCACTGACCTGGCTGAAAAAACGGCTGATAATAAATGTAGGTTTCTCTTGTTTCCATATCACAAGGAAGACCCATAATATGAACTCAATATTTTGCTTACGGTTTCCTGAGAATCATCCTCATATGAGCATCTGGCCCAATCTGAGAGAGCAGCAGCATAGTATCCTGTAGCTCCTCATCACACTCCTTTTTCTCTTCCTCAGTTGGCAAAGGGGCATCTTCACGCTCATCATCCAAAAATCGATAAAATAAGTATTTGTCTTGAAAATGGTGTTCCTGGTCCACTGAAAACAACGTAACACATCAAATACTAAACACTCCTCAACAAAGCAAACCTTGTAGAAATCTGTGTAGTATCGTGTTTGTTACAGATAGATGATTTAGGAAGGGAAAGAGAGCTACAGAAAAACTGTAAGAGCATGAAACTATTTCTTATGTATGTCCAAGTTATGTAGCTTGAAGGGTACACTTTTAAATTGTGTACTACAAATACTTTCCAAAAGGCTTCCATGGAAGCCTGTGGGTGTGTATACACACATGTGTGTGTGCCCATGTGGGTTTTTTTCTTACTAGTTCTGTTTTCTGTTTCAAACTATTTCATTTAATCAAACAAATTACCGGGGAAAATGGTTACACTGTGAATTTCTAAGAGGTATTCTCTAGCACAAAAACTTTGCTCTACAGGTTTAGACAGGCTGAAAAAAGGTAGCAAAAGCAACTAAACCCCTTGTGACGTAGCAGAAATGTATATCATAAAGGCATAATCCCAGGGGCATGTTCACTGACCTGTGTCCTGGTGGAATAACTTAATGGAAGAACTGCCAAGAGAAGACCTCTAAAGTAACATCATGATATTGCAAAGGACAAACCCCTGGTCTTCCAAGCAAGTCAGAGTGATGTGTTTGTGTTGAGTTGGATACTGTGATGCAGCTTGCTATAGCTTGCCCCTTAGAGTTCAAGGGATTATATGGCAGGAATTCAAGTCAGAGCCATTAGGGTAAGGGAGCAGTGGAAACAAGTTGCCTTCCCAGTATGGAAATTTCTCCCTGGGATATGGGAAGCACAACAGATGATAAATGCAAGTTTACTGTAATAGAGCTGCTCTTCTACATTTAATAAAAATGTATGTGCAAAGCTTCAAATATGAATATTGCTTCAGAAACCTACCCTTTTGAGGGCTGTAATATCCTGTTACCAACTAAATCCTGCCAAATGGAAACTGGAAATCAATGTAAAATGCAATCAAAAAGCTAACATAAAATCACAGATTTCTACACTAGAATATCTGGTGTGCTGAATTTGGGAACCCCTCCAAAACCAGTGGAAATCATTTCAAAATGATGGCTCTCAGCAGACACAAATACTCACATTCACTTCTAAATACTGCAAATCTTTGATGAAGGTTAGTTTTATGTATGGTAATACATCCCTTGGTTTTGGTTTGAGTGCTACCCAGTTCTAACAATATAAGAACAAGCCAGTGTACTCCTAAGTATAATTAGAGTTATGATTATAAATTGTTCATTTATGATGCAATGTGCTCATAAGTTCAAAAAGTATACTGGTAGCAAGATGCAGCCAGAATGAACAGGCTGCCCTGTGGCATTTCTTTTGGGCTCACGATCCCTTTCCTTTTCATAAACAAGAACTATAGAGGCGTTGATGTCACACACTGCCCATATTTTAGTAAAGATACTGATTTTCTTTATCTTACCATGGTTAAGAACACCTTCTTCTAGCAGCACTTGCCACATGCCAACAGCCTGGGTTCGTAAATGGACACAAGGACTTTGTTGCATCATCCAGTCAACTAGTTCTGTCCCCACACAGCATTGCCTGAAGGACAGATAGGAAGGAATGAAAAGGAAGCTAGCCAAGAGATTGCACACACTGGCTGCCAATAATAGTGACGTCTTAAACTCTGTATAGACTCAGTCAAATCTGCCTGCAGAAAACCCCATGTCACCATCTACATGCACATGCTTGAAACACTAAGAGGATCCTCTTAGTAAAACAAGTGTTTTGGGAAATGCAGAGTTCAGAGGATCAAATTTAGCCTGTTGCACATGGTACAAAACCTATAGCAGCAGTGCAACAACCTCCAAACCAGTTTTCAAAAGAAGCCTCTGTATATCATGGGATACCAAAAGCCTCATGCTTTTCAGAATCTTGCATGAAAACAGTAATTTAATACTGTGAAAGTTATGCCAATGCAGCCTCCACAGGAAGAGTGCTATGAGGGTGTTCTTGCATTTGTAACCAAGCTTCTGTCACACTGTATTTAGAGACACTGGTCTTGGTACAGTGTTCCTTAGGCTCTCTCATGAGAGGTCTTGGTCACCTTGCACCTCCTGACTGATCCAGAGACAGATAACAGCAGGTCTCAAATTCTGGAGGACACCCAAAGAGGGTTGAAAAACCAAAAAGCCACATGGCCACTTCGTAAAATTCATTATCATAACACTCCCTAGCTCAGCAGAACAGTAAGAGTTTTTCTCAGTTATGTGTAAGAGAAAATGATGCAGCTGTTTGGACCAGCAATATTCTTCATTTACCATAGATGCTCTTTCGTTCTTCTGGAACAATCAGCAATGTAATATCGTGACATATTCTCAAATTAACTCACAAGTGCCAAATACCTTTGTATATTAAATATATTTTGGGCTGAAATATGGAAAATCAATGCATTTATTTCAAATGAATATCAGAATCATATTAATTTACTATTTAGAAAAAGACACACTCAGAGACTTAAAAATAATTTTTACTTTAAAACACTCTGAATAATGTACTAGGCATTCGATTTAAACATTAGACACTAAAACAAACTGATTCTTAAGCCAATAGTAGGTAGATCCTGACACCTTGCAGGCAGATTTCTATTCTACAAGTGCCATTGTTATCCCACTTCAGCAAGACTGTGCTGCCACCAGCAGGAAGATAAGAGAGCCCAGCAATTCACTGAAAAAAAAATTAAATAGAGCAGCAAATCTGCATCAGGAATGTTTCTCACCAGGTGAATTTTCAGAACCCCACAGTGAGCAAGACTGCTGTAGCAGTCAGTACAGCAACATAATATATTAATGAACTTTTCTATTTTCTCTCGCTGATATACAAAGAGAACGGAATCTACATTTTAACTTGGTACTACACAGAATATTCCAGCTAACTATGCTATTAACTTTGGAAGAGTTTTTGTATGTGAATGCTCTGTTCACAATCACGGACTCAATTTCCAGTCAAATTACTTCAGAAAAGATTTACCAGGCCCATTAAAGACTGCATAACATCCAACTCAAATAGCATCACAGAATAATTTCCGACCTTTTGAGACCTGCAAGTATGGTAAGGCATAAATGACAAATCAGAGAATGGCAGGCATAAAAATTCAGAGACCTCTATACAATCAGCTCACACACCTGTAAGTCTTCAGATGGTATTTACGATCTCTTATCATGTGAGGAGCTCGGGACAGAATTGTATTCCGCAAAATCTTTCCAGCTCTAAGGATCTTTTCTGAAGGAACCTTGGTGATCACAGAGAAAAAGAAAGACCAAGACACATAGATATTAAACTTTCTGGAATATCTGTACTGCTTTCTGCAAAACAAAACACAAATTCTCTTCTTTCCTGAATTAAAAGTCCTCTCACACAGAGGCTTGCTTTCGCAGAGCAATGTAGTATATATTTGGGATTTTAAGTTTCACATTTTCACATTCACTTTTCACATTTAACAGAAAGCATCACTTCAGCTGATTCATACAACATTGCTGGAAATAGTTACTTCCATTTGTCTAATGGCCAGGCTCTACATTACACCTATGTTCTATTACCTGTGTAATGGTTTTAGTAGGATGATGTGGGATGTGAGGTTCAATAAGAGGTGTCTGAAAAATAAAATGAAATTAAAGATTTTTTTTAAGGTTGACCAGAATAATAAAATAAAGACTAAAGTAAAAAATGAACAAAAAAGCTCTAATAACAAAGAATAATGTGGAAGTCCAAGTTCTGCCCAGGAGGTATGAATATATAAAAAGCTTCTGAAGACATCCTAAAGGCAAACTTGGTTGTTGAGGGTTAGCAAATTAAAACAGTGACATGACCTGTGAAGATGAGTAACAAATCTGTGCTAAACTTTGTGAAGTACTAATGAAATGGGCAATGGCCAAACGTCACACCAGATCTGAGCATACACAGGCACAGTTAGCTCTTCCTCCTGCACAACAGCATTCCCCCACACGCATCTGCTTTCACCACTCAGCCCCCACCATGGAAATTCTCTCTTCCTTCAGCACCTTTTCCTATTTAGCTCTTTTCTCCCTTACAGCATAGCACAAGAAACAGGAATGGAGATAGAGTTCTTCTTCTACTATCTGTGCTTTCTAAATTATCACCAGGCTGAGCTGGCAACCCTTTTGTAGCCGCTCTCTGAAATGCAGAGGCACGCAGGCCACTCACAGGAACCCAGGCAAGGACCTTCACAAAGAGGCTGGTGAAGGAAAAAGAAAAGAAGAAAGCAAGTGGCTTGGTTCTACAAAGGGAAGAGTGAAAGGAAAGACCATCGGGGCTCTACAGGGGAGATGGGGATGAGAGAAATGGGAAAACAGGCACATAACAAACAGGTGTAAGAGGGAGACGGGGAGCACATGGCACAACACAGAGGAAAAAGGAAAGGTTAAAGCACAGTAGAAATGGAGACAAAGGAGAATAAAATCAAGCTTCAGCAACCACCTCAGAATGATGTGAAGACCTTGGACTTTGTTTGGCCTGGTAGTTAACAGCATGGACCAAATTCATTTGCAATGTCAGGAGACAGGACACAAGGGCTGACTTTGGCTGGCCCCCAGCAGATCAGGCTGAGCAGAGCTCTCCCACAAGGGCAAGACTGCACCTTGGCCACGGCAGCCACGGTCCTCTCACACCCCTATGGCAAAGCCAAGACAGCCAGGGCAGATGTATGGTGAAACATGCACCACGCACTCCCCTGTTTCCTTAAACTGGGCATCTGCCCATTAGCTCCCACGGGATTTTAATGACATGACAAAGTCCTTGTAGTTATCAAATAGTGCTAAGAGTGCACCAAGAAACTATGGGTCAGCTGGCAAGGGGAAAATGAGGGAAGCATATGACTGATATCAATAACCTTAATGTATAGGCCTGTATCTGGAAACCAATACAAAGTTTTTTGTTTCTATTTATACCTTACAAGGAGTCTCTGAAAAGGCATATCAATACAATAAAAATAGGATTCCTGATTTTTCTCATTTAATAAGTCAATAATTTTTCATAAACTCATTGAAGTTCCAAATATTTCTGTCCAGCCAGAAGAGAAGTAGCACATGCCTCAATATTTCTTGGTTTCTGGAACTATGTGGAATCTGCTCTAGATAGTTTATATTTACAGTTAACATATACAAAGAAAACAAAGATCTTTTCAAAGATGCCTCTAATGAAAACAATCTCAAACTCAAACAGGTACAATATACTCAATCTAGCTTCCAGATTCTAATTCTAGTTAGGAATATACTTAGAGGAGAGATAAAATGTGTAAGACAAAAACATATAGATTTTTAGAACAATAGACTAGTGAAAACAAATTCACATTTTTGCTCTTCGGAGTTTCAATTAAGTCTTAACAAAAATGTGTAAACTAATAGGTGAAAAATCAAACATGGATAAAGATTTTTCAATTAATCTCCCAACCTAATTAAAACAGAATATAAGACAGCATTTGGAAGAAATCGGATTCATCCCAAAAGTACAGAAAAAAAACAAGGTTAAAGGTAAGACAGCACAAGAATCTGCAGAAAGCAGAAGGAAGGCTTGTTCACCTACATCCTGACCGATACAGAAGGATCAGCTGCAAAGACAGAACATAACTTGGTTGAAGGTGATCATGAAATGATCCAGTGTCAGAACTTTACAGAAGGAAGAAAGAGCATCAAAGCAGACACAATGGACTAGGAAGAGAAGTTTCCATAAAAACATAATGCTGATAGCTATATTCCTGGAGTGGGTCATGGGGAAACAAGTTTGAGGTAGAAAGAGTTAATGGTAGCTAGCAGTCACTTAAAGAAACAGTATTAATCATACATACAATATATACCAGAACTAGAAGGTAAAGTCAAGACTCAGCTAAAGAAAGAGCTCTTCACTGACACACAAGATGGAAATACACAGAAAGGAGAATATAGTAGGGAGTCTAGAGAAAGAAAGTATAAATTGAATAACAAAAGGCAGAATTAGAAAAGCAAAGGTATAAAATGAGACAGACCTGCCAAGAAATGTCAAGAGGTAAGAAAATATTCCACAAGCACATTAGTAGTACAAAGTGAAACAAAGAAAACAGTGTTGATCTTCTGTTTAACAGAAGAAAGTCTATTTACAGACAGTTCAAGAAGGCCAGAAACTTCTGAGGTATTTTTAATCAATGTTTATTAGAAAGATCAGTGGCAGCGAGATGGTCAATATCCCAAGTAGTAGAGTGACAGAAGTAAAATCTCAACCTTGAAAAAAACCCCAAAAACATAAATTAGCTGTCTTCAGATTGGCTTTTTAGAATTTAATGCAGGAAACTTGAAGAGCTTGAACAAACTTAGAGAGGGTTGCATCCATCTCAAAACCATCAGCAGCCACCCTTGGTGTCTAAGGAAGGCAACTGAAGACAGAAATATGGAAAAGATGAAGCTAAAAAAATACAGATGTCAGCTTAATGTCTTCCTAAAAAAATGTCCATTTGTAAGCACCTGGAAAAGAACAGGGAGATAAGTCACATGTGATGTATATTAACCAAGAACAGATCATGCCGCACTGATCTAATTTCTTTTAATGATCGAGTAGCAACATTGATAGATTAGACAAGAATCAGTACATTTTTCAAACCTTTACTAAGGCTTTAGCACTTTCTCATCAGATATTCTCTTCTGCAACAGGCAGATTAAATTCTTACAAAATAGATGCAAAGTCAGTTGGAAAAGTGCATTTTGAAAGCAACTACCAGTGAAGCAAAGTCAAACTGGCACTCATACCAGCAGTCTGTTCAAAGCAGCATTCAAGAATATATCACATCTGATAATATTAAATATTAACATGGGATGAAGCAGGATACATCTTTATTGATTCTGCAGGAGACATCAGGATGGGAGGCATTGCACATACATTGCAGAATGTTTATAATTTGAAACAGCTGTAATATTGGTCTAAAAAAATAATGCTTTTATGCAACAGAGTGATGACTGAACATTTCAGTACATTTCTGAAGCAGGTGGAATCAGCTAAATAAAGACAGGATAGACAAGTGTCTTCAGAAAATGAAAAAAATGTTTATAATGTTTTAAATATTTACATATTAAACACAGCTGAACAACTGATGCCATAATTGTGTGAAAGCAGCAAATACAGTATTGGAATGTAGTAATATATTAGATACACAATGGTGTTCTGCTTTAGTCAGTCTAGGTAAGACCTACTATAAAGCACTGTGTCTCATTTTCCCACTTTACTCCAGAAGCATCTAAACCAGCTGAACAGAATTTAGAGGAAAGTAGCAAGAAAAATCAGAAAGCACAACATAAATAATCAAAGTTGAACTAAGGAAAAGGCAGATCTTAGCAGAGGTGTGATTAAAAAAAGTCTTCAGATTTAAAAGGCCTTTGAAAATGAGAAAGAAGTGGCCTCATGATGAGTGGACTCATCATGCAGAGATCAGGAAATAATTTAAATTGCTGTTAGAAAGATTCTGTTTATGCATTGCTGAAGCTTTCCTCAGTATGGACAGTGAATACTGGCAGATTGCCAGAGAGGTCTGGTTCCTCCGTCTTTGGGAGGATACACCAGGAATCTGTCAGGAATTACACTGCTATAGTGTGCATGTGGCTTGGGGATGAACTCAATGCTTTCCTGAAGTAGTTTTTAGCCTCACACCATGGTACTGAGCAATTTTTGAGGACACCTTTAGAAGTCTAAAACGAGTTCAGCCACAGGGCAGTGCTTAAAGAGGAGATCAGTAATAGAACCTGGGGCAGAGAGCCTGAGACAGTCATTCCACCTGAGGGACAATGCCATCATCATCCAAAAGACATGCCCAGCAAAGAGTCCCCAAAGTCGCAGCCTTTCAAAGAGGCTGTAGTGAGCTCTGGCTGCACTAGTGATTAGCTGAAATGCAATCAATGGAAACACAGGGCTCAGACTGAGTTTGCTATAGAAAGGCAAGACATATTTCAAAGGCAAAGAAATGTAACAACAATTAGTTAATAGAAACAACCTCCCACCTGAAAAAAAAATGCATTCTGTAAGGGACAGTCACAGCTTAGCTAAAGACAAAGAATTGTTTTGTGCGTCTTTACAATCCTGGGTCTTTCATTATGCATTGCTTAAAAAGCACTTTAAAAAAAATGTAGAGATTAAAGAGAGTGTTTAATTGACTTCTTAACACATCCTGGTATCTTTGAAGAATTAATGAGACTAAAGTACCTACATGTGGCACAGAGGTCCTTGATGATCTCATTTTTCAGGACTTCTGAATAAGGGAGAAGTTATCAGAAAGAGCTCAGATAAGCAAGCCAATTACAATAGTTTACAAACTATTGTTCATCTCCTGGCCACAGGAGTGACAAGTGTACCTGATCTTAGTTTTCCTTCAGTGTGAGATAAAACAACACAGCAACACCACACACTCAAACAGTTTGCTATCACCTGGTGATCTTCCCTGTAGGGCAGGAGGTCGTATGGGTGTGGAGGGTGGAGAAGGGAAAGCTGCTGGTGTTGGTAGGGGAAAGCAGAAAATTATTATGAGAAACTGGTAAAAAGGCTTTTAGGACTAACACTGACAAACTCCTTGTCTGTACATTTATGGATTCACATTTGAGCCATTCAAACAAAAAAGCCA